CTAAAAGCTGGAAAAGACAAGGCATGGATTTCCTCCCCCCAGAGTCTCCAGGTGGAACGCAGCCTTGCTGATGTCTCCATTTCAGCCCCTGAGGGCTCATTTGGGACTCGCACCTCCAGATCTGTGACGTAATAAACTTGTATTATTTCAAGCCTCAAAGTTGGTGGCTTCTCCTATGAGTGGCCACAATCATTTGGCATAACAGATAATAATAATGATAATAATAACTAATATTTTTGAGTATTTAATTTGGGCCAGGCAGGGTTTTATGACTTTTGTCACATTAAGCTCAAACCCCATGAAATTATTATTATTATCCTCAATTTACCAATGGGGAAAATTGCTTTTGGTGTATTGGTTATCTCTTGCTGTGTAACAATTACTCTAAAAACGTAGCTTTAAAAAACACATTTTTTTATTTTCTTTCCTTTTTAATCCTCACCCAAGGATATGTTTATTGATTTGAGAGAGAGAAGCAGGGAGAGAGTGAGAGGGAAACACCGACTGTTTGCCCCTGGTCTGCGCCTCGACTGGGGAGCGAACATGCGGCCTACACATGCACCCTGAACAGGAATCAAACCTGAAAACTTTTGGTGTGTGGGACGATGTGGTCAGGGCCATTTTTTATTTTCTTAGAGTTGCTGAAGGTCAGAAATCCGGAGGTGGCCCAGCGGGATGGTTGTGGACCAGGGTCTCCTGTGGGGCCAGTTGCTGTCTGGAGGTCTCCACTCTGACCTGCCGGCTTCTCCATGGCAGACGCGTCTTCACCACGTGGTGACTGGCCCCCCACCCCGCCCCTCCGTGGACGATCCCGAAAAGAGACAGCAAGGAGGAAGCCACAATGTCTCTTATGAACTGAGATGTCCCAGATGCCACAGTCTCAGACCTACACAATGTCACATCCTCTTTATTCTGTTCCTTAGAGGCAAGTCAGTAAATCCAGCACACACTCAAGGAGAGAATATTTAGGCTCCCCCTCTTGAAGGGAGGACGATCAAAGAATCTGTGGATATAAGTTAAAATGACTGCATTGGTCTGTCTGCCTTGAGGGCCCACACTCCTGGGGGCACTGAGCAAGGATTCTAGAAGAAAGTACAAGCCCAGCAGCCCCTCCCAGTCGGCAGCCATCACCCCACATACAGTGTCCCCTCTACAGCGATCCTCTGGAGCAGAGCTTGTTGTCGTCTCCATTTTCCAGGTGAAGAAGACACTGAGGCCCGGAGAGGCAGCGTGCCCCGCCGCCCCCATCACTTTGGGAATGCCTTGCAGAGTCAGGACTTAATCCTAGGTCTGTCTGATCGCAGCTGCTATCACCACACTAGCCAACATGGGGGGCTTTCCCATGTGCCACACACACCCAGTCCTCTGATGCTCATGTCAGCCCGGTGAAGTAGATCTCACTCTTATTGGGCCTATTTTACAGATGGGAATGCTGAGGCATAGAGAGATCAAGAACTATTCCAGGACTCCACATGAGTAGCAAACAGTGGAGATGGGATTTGAACCCCACCCCCTGGGAGGGGGGCAGTGAGCTGGCTCCAGAGTCGGCGTGTATCCTCCTGTACTTCTCCTTCTTGGGTGCAATTTGCTGTACTTTCACCCTGGCTCTTCACTGCAGCTGCACAGGGACCATCGATACATCTTCTTCAGAGACTGTAACTCCAAGATGGGTGTTCTGTCTTACAGAGAACAAAAGGAAGAGGGCAAGAACCCATGGCACTTTCCTCTCGATGAACTTGGGGCAAGTCTTTGCTGGTCATTTTTTCCTCGTGGCAGATGCTCTTGCTGCCTCTCCACACCCCTCCGCTCACACTAGTCTGACCTCTGTCTCTGGGGCCCATTCTGTCTGCCTGGAGCCCAGGCCCGAGGGGACATGGGTTGATGCGAGGCTCAATGCAAGAGTGATAGTAGCTGGTGGACAAACACCCCAGCTCTCTCGCCCCTCAGTTGGGGGAACTCTGAACAGTGGGCTCTCTGCCTCCTTCGAGAGGTGCCCAGCGAGGTTAAGCCCAGGTTTTCACCACGTATGTTGCTTGGTGACTCACTCTCTGTGGGCTCGTTCCTGGCCATGTCTCCCTCCCTCCCCAGCTAGTTTTCTGGGGTCACCTCCATGAGAAACTACCTTCACGAGAATCCTTGTCTCAGCATATGCTCCTGGGAGACCCCGATGAAGGCATTCCTAGCCCTCCATATGAGTGAGACTGTGCATGCGTGTGTGCATGTGTGAGCGTGTTGGGCTGGGGGCTGGGAAGGGGACGAGAGTTGCAGCGCACGAAGACGACGATGTGGTCAGATACAGTGGGGAGCTGAGGGAAGACGAGAGAGTGAAATCTCTAGACCTTGGCGGAGGGTCCTGGATTCCAATCTCAGGTTTTCCAAGGAACCTTGGACAAAGCCATATCTCCTCTCTCCTTTTTTGTTTTATTTTTGTAAAATAGGTGGGAGTAGAAACTCCCACTTTACAATGCCTTTAAAAATTTTTTAAATATATTTTATTAATTATGCTATTACAGTTGTCCCATTTTCCCCCTTCATTTCCCCCTGCCCTGCACACCCCCTCCCACCCACATTCCCCTACTTTAGTTCATGTCCATGGGTTGTACATATAAGTTCTTTGGCTTCTACATTTCCTATATTATTCTTAACCTCTCCCCTGTCTATTTTACACCTACCACTTGTGCTACTTATTTCCTGTACCTTTTCCCCCCTCCCCTTCCCTGCTGATAACCCTCTATGTGATCTCCATTTCTGTGACTCTGTTCCTGTTCTAGTTGTTTGCTTAGTTCGTTTTTTTTTAGGTTCGGTTGTTGATAGTTGTGAGTTTATTGTCATTTTACTGTTCATATTTTTTTACCTTTTTTCTTAGATGAGTTCCTTTAACATTTCATATAATAAGAGCTTGGTGATGATGAACTCCTTTAACTTGACCTTATCTGGGAAGCACTTTATCTGCCCTTCCATTCTAAATGATAGCTTTGCTGGATAGAATAATCTTGGATATAGGTTCTTGCCTTTCATGACTTTGAAAACTTCTTTCCAGCCCCTTCTTGCCTGTAAGGTTTCTTTTCAGGCAAATCAGCTGATAGTCTTTGAGAACTCCTTTGCGTGTAACTCTCTCCTTTTCTCTTGCTGCTTTTAAGATTCTCTCCTTATCTTTAATCTTGGGTAATGTTATGATGATGTGCCTTGGTGTGTGCTTCTTTGGGTCCAACTTCTTTGGGACTGTCTGAGCTTCTTGGACTTACTAAAAGTCTATTTCCTTTGCCAGATTGGGGAAGTTCTCCTTCATTATGATTTCAAATAAGTTTACAATTCATTGCTGTTCCTCTTCTCCTTCTGGCACCCCTATGATTTGGATGTTGGAATGTTTAAGGTTGTCCCAGATGTTCCTAAGCCTCTCCTCATTTTTTTGAATTCTTGTTTCTTCATTCTGTTCTGGTTGAATGTTTATTTATTCTTTCTGTTCCAAATTGTTGATTTGAGTCCCAGTTTCCTTCCCTTCACTGTTGGCTCTCTGTATACTTTCCTTTATTTCACTTTTCATAGTCTTCACTTTTTCCTCTATTTTGCAACCATACTCAACCAATTCTGTGAGCATCCTGATTACCAGTGTTTTGAACTGTGTATCTGATTGGTTGGCTATCTCTTCATTGCTTAGTTGTATTTTTCTGGAGCTTTGATCTGTTCTTTCATGTGGGACACTTTCTTGCCTTGGAGCACCTGTTACATAATAAGGGGTGGAGCCTTGGTATTCACCAGGGCAGGGCAACCCACCTCACTGTGTTCTGGTGCTGTTTGTGGGGGAGGGGTCTGAGAGGGAGCAATGCCCCTTGTTTAGCTTTCTTCTGGCTTTCAGTCACTTCCGCTGTTACCCACAAGCAAATTGGCCTGTCTGGTCCAATTTGGCCCCGGGTTAGTGGGTTTGTGTATGTTCTAACACCCTATGGACCTCTCCAACCAAATTTCCTGTGAGGCTGGGAGTTTCTCTTGCTGCCTCAACTCCCATAGGTTTTTTTGGTCAGAGGTTTTGAGGCTTTATTTCTCTGTGCTGGGACCCTGGGTTACATGGTCTGTCTTGCTCCCTGGTTGTTTCTCCCAGTTTACCTGCATGCAAATGTGGGACCACCTGCTCTGCCAGCCACCACCTCATCTGGTCTGCCAGTAGCCGCCTTGCCGAGAGTCCTCTCTGCCCCAGCTGCCCATCTCCACCCCTCCTACCGGTCTGGATGAATGTTGCTTCTTTAACTTCTCATTGAACTTCCATACAGTTCAATTTTCTGACAGTTCTGGTTGTTTTTTGTTTTAAAATTTGTTGTCATCTTTTTGGTTATGTGAGGAGGCACAGAGTATCTATGTACACCTCCATCTTGGCTGGAAGTCCTACTTTACAATGTTGACATGATAATGTAATTAAATTTTGTTAGCTATGTGTGATAACGGAGATTTTTTTCTAAACCCTCACTCAGTGATTTGAGAGAGAGAGAGAGAGAGAGAGAGAGAGAGAGAGAGGAGCATTGATCAGTTGCATCCTGTGTGCACCCTGGCGGGGGGTTGAACCTGCAGACTTTTGGCATGTGGGATGACACTCCAACACCCTGAGCCACTCGGCCAGGGCAGGAGATGCTTGTTTCTATGGGTCAGGCTGTGAAGAGGCCCTCAGCTTGGGGCTTGTTCCTTTGGGGGTAGGTGGCAGGAAGCTCATTTATTATCAGCTGCAATAAAACAAGCAGATAAGAGAAGGGAGGTAGATGTTGGTTGCAAAGGAAAAAATAACAGGTGGGTGGGGAGGAGAGAGAGGGAGAGTGAGACCCTAGTGGACCACCAGCCAGACCAACCTCTCTTCACTGTGGAGAAAGGAGAAAATTGGGAGTTTTGCCACACTGTCCTCATGAGTGGCAGCAACTCAGCAAAAAGGTCTCTGGTGCTCTCGTAGCAATTGAGCAACTCTGGCTCCGCCCCCTCCCTGCTCTGCTTTATTGGAAAACCCAATGATACAGAAAGGGCTCTCCTCTGTGAGGGAGAGACACCGCACGATGTGGACCTTCAGCCTGCTCCTCTTCTGGGGTGAGTGTGAGTCAGTGTCTGCAGAACTCCGAAGGTGTTCCAGGGGAGGCTCCGCCACGGCCTGGTCCCACAGGGAGCCCTGGTGAATGCGCTGCACCAGGAAGGTGACCTGCTCAGAGGAAAGGGGTCCAGGCTGTACCTCTGCCCCTGTCAGCCATTGCTTCTAGATCGGTGAAACCACTGGGGGATGGCTGTGCCCACCCGGTGAGGTGGGCGCGGGGTGGGACAAGGAGTGGCTACCAGCTCAGCCATCCCGACCCAGCGGAGCAGAAAGAACTCTCGAGCTGATGTAGGTAGCTCTCCAGGAAGAGGCTGCATTTCCCTCATCACATACCCACTCCTGCTTTCATCACTTGCTGTAGAATCATTGGCACTTAGGGAAATATGAGGACTGGCTGGGTGATAGGGTGGGTCCTGGCCGGATCTCAGAAGCATCTAATGATTTCTCTTCTCTTTGCAGGTTGGCAGCACTGCTCAACACAGGCGGACTTCGGTAAGAGACACCTCCTGATGGAAGGCAGTTGGCCCTTGGGCAGGTGCCTCCGCCTCTCGGTTTTGCCATCTGATTAACGGGTATTGTGATGGCCCCATGTAATGGGACAGTTGTCAGGATTCAACGCTCCTATGTGGCGCTGATAAGAGGAGGGCTCTGGAGTCACACTTCCTGGGTTGGAATCTCGGTTCGGGTGCTCACTGCCATGGGGACCTCCGGTATTTGAGTGAATTCCAGGGACTTCAATTTCCAGGCAAGTGAAGTCAGAGGAGCTAATCCCACAGGGTTTTGATGAGGATGGAAGAAGGTAAGGTAGAGGCAGTGCTGAGAGTTGTGCTTGGAATGCAGTTAAGTGCTCAATTAAATTAGCCCCTCCTCCCCTCCTCTTGACTCTCCTCCTTCTCCCCCACTCTCCCTTTCTTCTCCTTCTCAGATAAATATAAATTATCTGGTTCTTATCAGCTGGGCTGCTGATGAACCAAAGTTGTTAGCCAGTGAGGGGGCACAGCCAGGATCACGACCAGTCTCCTGGATTCCTTCCCAGCATTAGTTCATTCCACTGTGCTCTTGTCTTGCATTCTGACCTGTCGTGTGACCTGGGGCAGCTTGAAATGCCCCTGGGCATCCCTTTCCACGTCTATAAAATGTAGTCAATAGTGCGTACCAGTAGTAGGTTGACTGACCCTCCTGACTTGCCCCAGACTGGGGGGTGGGTTTGGGGGTGGGGCAGGAACCCCGGATGCTGGACTTTGAGTGCCAACACCAGCAAAGTCCTGGGAAAACCAGGATGGGTTGGCCACCTGACCTTGAAGTGTTGCTGTGGGGGCTGTAGAAAAGACGTGGTGGGGACCTATGAAATGGAAGTTGTAGTTATATGATAATACTCTCTTTGCCTCTCTGGGCCTGTTTTTTTTTTTTCCCTTTGGTTAATTGAGTGGCCACTGTGAAGTTGTTTTGCTCATGACTGAGCATCACATGTGTCTCAGATATAAGACTGAAGTGGCCTTTGGCCTGGTCTCCAGGCCAAAGCGGCTAGATGGCACCTGTGAGCACCAAAATTGGTCTTGTTGCTCCTTTACCCAGAGCCCTCAGGGGTCCCACCTCCCTCAGGGTAGAAGCCGAAGTCCTTTCTGTGGCCCACAAGACCCTGAATGACCTGCCAGTCCCCTCTCTACCCTCATTTCTCCCTCTATGCCCCTGAGTCACTCTGTCTCAGCCACATAGGCCTCCTTGCTGTTCCTCCAATACGCCAGGCACAGTCCTGCCCCAGGACATTTGCACATGCTGGGCCTTTTGCCTGGAATGCTCTTGCCCCGTTTAGACAAATGGCTCCCTCCATCACCTTCATTATGTTTCAGCTCATGAGCTGTCTTTTTAGTGACTACTCTATTTTTGATACTATATCCCTCACCCTCACCTCTTCAGATTGTCAGCTCTGTGAAGGCTGCTACTTTTGTGTGTCTTGTTCCATTGCTGAATCTACCATGCCTAGAAGAGTCCTGGCATATAGTAGGTGTTTGTATTAGGATTCTCCAGGGAAACAGAACAGATAGGATGGATACCTGTATATCTCTATGTATGTATTCATATGTGTAGGGGTATATTATAAGGAGTTGGTTCACATAATTACAGAGGCTGGTGAATCCCAAGATCCATAGGGTGAGGTGCAAAGAGTGCAAATGACTGGCCAAGCCTCCTCTGTCTTGAGACAGGAAAGGACTTGGGGAACTGAGCGAAAGTGAGCATTGCTGATGGGACAGGTGCTGGAGAGGTTGACAGGTGCTCAGGCACAGGGGACTGGGCTGTTGTTCTGGTTGGGGGACTTGAGCTGTGGCAGATAGAGCTAAAGGAAGAAAGCACTGGGAAGCTTAGAGTGGGGAGACCGCATATGGTGATGTGCCGGAAGTCTGCAAAGAGAAAGGTTGGCTCTGCCGATGAAAGAGGAAGCTGGAAAGGAGAAGAAAGATACCATCTGAGTGCAGGGAAGGGAAACAAACAAGACAGTGGTAGGAGCTAGAAAAGCCTGGCGCTCAAGGACCTGATGCTGCTGATTTAATTCATCCATTATGCTTTCGTGGCTATTTCCCCACGGTACCCCATCCCACCAGCTGATGTTGGCAATACCATTGGCTCCTCCTCTCTCTCACTCCCCTTCCGTCCATTGGCAAATCCTGTTGTCGTAACCTTCAGAATAAGTCCAGAATCTCATGCTTTCCGCTGCACTCCCCTGGGTAGGCCCCACTGTCATCACTCCCCTGGACAGGTGCAGACCCCTCCTGCCTCGCCATCCTGCCCCGGCCCTCGGCAGCGCCTCTTTCCCACCAGTGGCCTGAGATCACGTGAAACCTGAGTCGTGCTGGGCCCTCCTCTGCGCTAAACCCTTCTATGGCTCCCATCTCTCTCTGATAAAAACCTGCAGCCTTGCAACGGTCTAGCAGTTCCTACGTGACCTGGCGTGTCACCTCCCCTGATGTTTCCCTCGCCCACTGGGCTCCAACCACATCCCCTCTTCGTAATTCCAGGAAATCCCCAGGCACCATCCTGCCTCAACGCCTCTGCCTTTGCTGTTTCCTCGGCCTTAAGTAACTCCCGAGCTCACGCTCTCACCTCGCTCAGGCTTTGCTCAGTGTGACCTTCTCGGTAAGGTCTTTGTGTCTGGGCAACGGCTGTGTCCCGGGCACTGTTCTCTGCATTCAGGACCCAGCAATACATAAGACCGACACAAATTGCTGCCTTCTGGGAGCCCACAGCCCAACCAATTCTAATCATTTTTCTATAGAAGCACCTTAGAAATTGCATGGAAATTTACTCCATTTCCAGTGAGACCTTCCTCCTCTTGTGCAGCAGCAGTGAACATCATGCACTTGGGGTTTGGCAGGCCTGGTGCTGCCGCTTGCCCGCTGTGCATCCCAGGGCAAGTCTTTCAACCTCTCTAAGCCTGTTTTCCACATCCATACGACGAATGGGAACTGTCCTGGCGAACTGTCAGTTCGCTGTTGGTGCTATAGCACAGGACTGCAAACTTGGCGGCTTAAAGCACCAGAAATGTTATCTCACAGTTCTGGAGATCAGAAGTCCAAAATGAGTCTCTGTGGGCTGAGAGTGTCAGTGGGGCTGCCTTCCCTTCTGGGGGTCCCAGGGGAGAATCTCTTGCCTTTTCCAGCTGCTAGAGGTCACCTGTATCCCTGGGCTCATGTCCCCTTCCTCTGTCTTTGCAGCCAGCAATGGCTGGCCAAGCCTTCCTCTCATCGCTTCACTTTGACTCTGCCACCCTCATCTTCATCTTTCACTCATAAAGACACTGTGATTCCATTGGCTCCTTCTCAATAACCCAGGATGACCTGTCCATCCCAAGGTCAGCTGGTCAGCAATCCGCATTCCATGTGCGACCTTAACTCCCCCTTTTTGTGCAGTGAACACAGCCACCTGGTCCAGGGACCGGGACGTGCTCACCTGTGCAGGAGCCAGTGTTCTGCTGATCACAGGACTGATGGTGTCAAAAGAGTGTCTTCCTTAGCACCTGGTGCCTGCCCCTACCTGTGGCTTTGTCCAAAGGGAACAGCACATGCAAAGGCCCTGTGGCAGAGAGGCTAGAAGCAGAGACTGACATGAGATGGGGCTTAAAGACGTGTTGGTGTGTGGTCCCTGGGGGCTTTTTGGTCATGTTAAGTAATTTGGATTTTAATTCTGACTGCAACAGCCAGGGTTATAGGGAGGGGTGGGGCGTTGTGGTCAGATTTGCACACAGAGATGACTGCAGGGGATAGTGGGGATTGTAGGACTGCCTGGACAACCCAGAGGAAGATCTTTACTGAGCATAGATGTGGAGATGGGGAGAAGCAGGTAGATGTAGAATGATACTTGAGAGGGAGAACCAGTGCAGGAGGGACTCACTCATTGGATGTGAGTGTGGGGGCGAAACAGGGAAACTGAGGTACAGAGAGGTAAATCACTTGTCCCAGGGCTGGGTTGGCTGGGGTGTATTTCAGGCCCCTCCCAGACCTGCTGAGTCAACATCTGACATTCCAAGCGCTCCTGGGGATCCCAGGCAGGGCAGAGGCTGCTGATCTGCAGAACACATTTCAGCAGCAAGGGTCAGTGCACCTCATACTTTCACGGGCCCACAGATCACCTGAGGATCTTGCTAAAATGCAGATTCTGATTCAGCAGATCTGGGTCAGGGCCTGAGACTTTGCTTCCATCAAACTTCTTGCCAGTGCCACTGACCCACAGACCACACTTTGAGAAGGAAGGGTTACAGGCCTTCAGGTCCTAACAAGCCAGGTCACTGTACCAGTTTCCCAGGGCTGTCACAACAGAGGCGAAGTTCATTGTCTCACAGTTCTGGAGGCCAGACGTCCCAAATCCAGGTGTGTGCTTCTTCTGATGGCTCCAGCAGGAACATCTGTTCACTCCCCTCTCCCGGCTTCTGGTGCTGCCAGTGGTCCTTGGCTTGTAGATGCGTCACTCCAATCTCTGCCTCCGTCGTCATAGGGTCTGCTCCCTCTGTCTCTGCACTTCCCTCCACTTCTTAAAGGACATCGATCGTGTCAGATTAAGGGGCCATCCCTACTTCAGTATGATCTCATCTTAACTTACATCTTAGTGACATCTGCAAAGACCCTATTTCCAAATAAGGTCACATTCTCAGGGACGGAGGTTTAGGACTTCAGTGTGTCTTTTCAGGGGAGACAATTCAACCCACAACAGTAACCTTCATGGTCTCACGCTGGCTTTCCTTGCAGCCCTGCTCTGGTGCTCTAACCCAAGCTCTTCCTTCCACGCTGTCTAGATGTGAATGAGTGTGGGGACACCACCACGTGCCCAGCTTATGCCACCTGTACCAACACTGTGGGAAGTTACTACTGCACTTGTAAACGGGGCTTCCTGTCCAGCAACGGACTGACACATTTCAGAGGCCCAGGAGTGGAATGCCAAGGTGAGTCCACATATCCTCCAGCATTCAGCAGAAAACTAGGTGGAAGCTGGCAGATGTAGGTACTTCATTTCTTTTCCCCAAACATTGTTCTCTCCCGCCTTCCTCTTGTCCTTCCTTCCTTCCTTCCTTCCTTCTCCCCATCTTCTCTTCCTTCTTTTATCTTTCTCTTTTTTCTATCTTAAAAATGATTCCTAGTCACTAAAATTTCCAGTGATTGGAGATTAGCATTATAATGAAAACAGAAATAAAGATCATGCTATTTATCAATATTCAGAAATGACTACTAATTTTATTCTGAGATCCTTCTCTTATCTCTCCATTCAGATAAAAAGATTTTTTTTAACATTTATTGAGTGCCAGGCTCCATAGGAAGGGCTTTAGGTATATTTTACCATGGGATTGAGTGTAGCAGTGGGATGCTTCTCCATTGGACAGATGGGGAAACTGAGGCTTGAAGAGCTGCAATGACTTGTGTAGGGTCATGTAGTTGAACTGGAATTCAAACCCAGGTCTTTCTGACTTTCATGGTGGTCTCTCAGCCACATTACCTATTTACCACACTCTAGCTGTGAGGTGTTGGGAAACTGTATTTAGTCTAAGTCTCAATGTTCCTATCTGTAAAATGGGTGTTTAAGAGCATCTATCTCCAAGGGTGGTTGGGAAGATTAAATGCAATAATATTTGCAGTGTGCTAGGCACATACACCATCCCAGGAGCTACTATTAACATAAATAATATAAACTCAAGTAGTTCCCAGAATGAGTTAAGTTCTTTGTCTGCTTTTCTTATATTTAGACCCCAGTTCTCCTCTTGACAATACGGATATGCCTGTGCTTTTGAATGAGAGCAGGAGTTCACAGACTTTTTCTGTCAGGGTCCAGACAGTAAATACTCTGGAGGTTGCAGGCTGCCTGATCTCTGTCGTGCCTACCTGATACTCCAGCTGCATTGCCAAAGCAGCCATAAATAAGACTTAAGTGAATGGACGTGACTGTGTCCCAATACAACTTTATTTACACAAACAAGCGGAGGGCCGGATTTGACCTACAGTTGGAGTTAGCTGAGTAAGAGAACCCATTCCTCTCATTGTAGTTCCCTGGGAGCCCCAAACACCCTTCTTTGGGCTACAGTTCTTGGGCTGTTCAGTGAGCTCAGTAGTGCTGGTGGGCCCTGGTTTTTAAATTTGAGGTGAAAGCAACATTCTTCATCTAGAAAATGATGAGTACTACAGCCAGGGTTTTGTCTGCTTTATGTCTTTGGTCCCCAGTATAGTGCCTGATACCTTGTGAGAATTCAATAGAATTTTGTCAAGTGAAAGAACATGTTACTTCATTCTTATGTTAACTCCAGATTTATCATCCTATTACTGACAGACACCTAGGTTGTTTCTAACATTTTATTTATTTTAAAGATTTAATTAATTGTTTTTAGAGAGAGGAAGGGAAGGAAAAAGAGAGGGAGAGAAACATCAGTGTGTGGCTGCCTCACGTGCTCTGTACTAGGGACCTGGTTAGTAACCCAGGCCTGTGCCCTGACTGGGAATCAAACTAGCAACCCTGTGGTTCACAGGCCCATGCTCAGTCCACTGAACTACACCAGCCAGGGCTGTTTCTAACGTCTTGCAACTTCAAGCAAGGCTGGGATGCATATCCTTGTGGTGTTACCTTGGTGGACAGTAGAGCTCCAGATTTCTCTTCAGTGAGAGGCACAATTAGCCCAGAGAGAGCTTAGGAGAGTTGACTCAAAGTTTTATTTGCATGACAGGTGCGTGGTGAGTGTTTATTTAGGGTGGTTTGATGGAGCAGGGATGAAGGAGACTTTGAGTGGGCCACCTGGTGGTACCATGACTGCACAATTCTGTAGGCGCTTCAGTGAGTGAGTTTCTAGCGGTGCCTTTGCAGGGTGTTCTTGCCTGGGTGACAGATCACTGCAAACTCAGTGCATAAAACAATAACAATCATGTATTTTGCTCCTGAATGAATCTACAGTGTGGGCTGGGTTTGGCGAGGACAGCTTGTCTGTTCCATGCGGTGTCAGTTGGGTCAGTCCTCACGTCTCAGGGAGCTAGAGGACCCACTTTGAACAGGGCCTGCTCACACGGCTGGCAAACGGGTGCTGGCTGTTGACCAGCTGCTCCACCAGGCATGTGGGCTGGACGTCTGGGTTTCTCTCCACGTGGGCCACTGTGTCATGGCTGGTCGGGCTTCCTCATGGTATGGTGGCTGAGTTCTGAGAACGAGCATCTCAAGAGAACATGAATGATTTGTGTGACCTGGTGTCGCTCTCCCCATAGCCACAAGTGTGCTCAGGTTCAAGGGAGGGAGCACAGGCCTGCTGCTTGGTGGGAGGGATACCAAATTTACACTGAATGAAGGGCAGAAGGAATGGATGACGTTATGACCATCTTTGGAAAAGATGTCTTTTATATAAAATGAGGCAAATTTGTAACTAATTCTTTCTCTGTCTAGATGTAAATGAATGTTCTCTAAGCTCCTCACCATGTGGTCCTAACTCAGTCTGCAAAAACCTGCCAGGGAGGTACGAGTGCAGCTGCTTGCCTGGTTTCTCCTCTCCCACTGGAGATCGCTGGGTCCCGGCAAAGCCAGGCCGTTTCTCCTGCACAGGTAATGCTCCTGGGCTCTGCGTGGGTCTTTGGCTGACAGCTACCACTGAGTTGGGCATGTGTGTTCCTAACCTCACACAGCCAGTCTTTCATCTGCCCACTCTCCTCTATGCTCCACAGACATCAATGAATGCCTCGACAGCGGAGTCTGCCCAGAGCATTCTGAGTGTGCCAACTCTTTGGGAAGCTACAGCTGCCACTGCCGAGATGGATTCATCTCTAACAACTCCCGCTGTGAAGGTACGGAGGACCTGCTCTTCTTCATTTACCTACTTAATGGAGAATCACCTCACTTGATGATCTTATGAGATAGGGATGATGAGCCTTATTTTAGGAATGAGAAAAATGAGGCTCAGAGAGATGAAGTCACTTGCTCAAAACACACAGCTATTGAAGTGGAAGAATTGGGATTTGGACTCCTATTAAGTCCCTACTATGAGTTAAGCAGTGAGGTCAGGCAGTACCTGAGAGTACAGGTAGCTGTGTCCCTAGAGTGATCTTTCAGGGGTCATTGGCCATGTCTGGAGACATTTTTGATCATCACAACAGGTGATGGTGGTGGGGTTGTGTGTGCTACTGCCATCTAGTGGGTAGAGGCAAGAGATTCTGCTAAATACTCCAATGCACAGGACACCCTCCCACAATCAAAATTCATCTGATGGTGGGCAAAAGTGTATTGGCCACCATAATGAGGCATTCATTTCAGACTGAAGAATGAAGCAGGTAACTCCATAGACTATAGCAGAATTTGTCATAGGGTTATTTACTTACAGGGAGAGTGGGTCAGAGCAGAACAGACAGTCCAGCCGTCTGTGCAGATTATTCTCGCTACCAGACCCGTGTTACTGTGCTTTTTTATAGTATAACCCAGGTGCTAATGATGGGTAAGAGAAGGGACAAGGAATGCAGTAGTGCCCGGGGCCACTCCTCCTGGAGGTCTTGTGGTGGATGGGTGCCTGTAATCGATACTATCACCAGTTTGATATTTATCATGGTTGTCCTGGCATTCCAGTCATTACTGACAAAAATATTTATGGCTATATTTTAAGAAACACAGATAATCATCAACTAGAAGGCTTTGATGTGCTTGCTAGAGCAGTGAGGGTGGTCACAGCAGGAAAGGAGATCGGGACACAAAGATGGAGTTGGTTTTGTTCACATCTACATGTGATCCCATTTCACATGTCAGTAGTTCTCAGGCAGAGACATTCTGTGCCAGGGAGACCCACACTTCAGAACTTTCTCCTACAAGGTCCCTCCCTGAACGAAGATCTGAGGGTTACCCTTGATCCTCCTTCTCCTTGCATATCAAGTCGTGTCTTAAGGAGTTGACCTGCTACACGGTCTTGAGTCTGCCCACTCTTCTCCATCTTTGGTCCGCGCATCACAGTGGCTGCAGCAGCCTCTCCCCTCCTCCAGTCTTCCTCTTTGACTCCATCCCCACATTGCAGTCAGAATGTTCTCACCAAGAGACAGGGCTCCACCTTTCCGAGTCTGGCACAGCCCATCTTCTCCACACTCGTCTGTACAGGGTGGCGGCATCCAGCAAGGCATGGAGTCGTCAGACTCATTGTGTCCCTTTGGCTTGGAGCCAGAGATACTTGAGTCATCTCCGGTTTCTCTAGTCCATTTGTGGCAGTCGGCTCTTGTTGACTAACAGATCACCCTGAAAGTCACTGGCTAAAAACCACCACTATCGATTGAACTCTCGATTCCATGCCCTGGCAGTTGAAGTTGGGTGTTGGGGCCAGTTCTTTGGGTCTCAGCTGGGCTTGTTTGTGAGTCTGTGGTCAGCTGGAGGTCAGCTTTGCTGATCTTGGTTGGGCTGTCCACATGTCTGAGGCGATCCATCTCTCTTCCACTTTGTCTTTTATTCTTCATTAGGCCAGTCTAGGGCTTGTTCCTATGAATGAGTAGAAGTAAACAAACTTCTAGAGGTCTAAGTTTGGAACTGGCACTGTATCACTTTCGCTGCATTCTATTGGCCAGTGCAAGTCATAGGGCCAGCTAGATTCAAGGGGCGGGAAACAGCTCCCCATCCTAAAGAGAGGAGTGGCAGAACCTTGTTACATTGCACAGTCCGCCTCTCAGGGTGTGGACAAGGCAGGACTGAAAGACCATCAACATCTCTGTAACTTATGATCATTATGTTTTGAAACTATTCGCCACCCTTTGTTTACACACTGTTGCCCAAAATTTATTCTCCCTGGAAGATAGGAAGAAGGGGGAAGACAGGTATCGGGGAGCAACAGCACTGTGTCCCCAGTTAGCAACATGTACAGTGGATCTCCTGCCTGCAGCCTCGTGTGCTCACTTTCTCACCTGCCTACACCTGGGTTTTCATTTCCACTCAACAGAGGTGGATGAGTGTGCCGATCCCAGAGCTTGCCCGCAGCATGCAACCTGCCACAACAGTTTTGGAAGCTACTCTTGTGCCTGCAACCCAGGATTTGAATCCAGCAGTGGAAACACGAGTTTCCATGGCCCAGGAGGGACATGTGAAGGTAGGCGAAGGGGCCTCTTGAGGCATCAGGGCCAAGCCTGTCTGCAAAGGCAGCAGTACTGAGGCAGGAATCAGCGTGGATCTCGGCTGAGTTCAAAGCCTCATCTGCAAAGCCGAAGCCAATAATCATTCATTTACTCTTTCATTCATTCATGCGCTCATTCAACAAATACTTCTGGAGCACTTGCTAGACTTGAGGCACTGTTCTAAGGATGGTGGATACAGTGGTGAAAAACATAGGCAGAAATATTTGTTCTCCTGTAACTTATAATCTAGTATGGGGGAGACAGATGACAAAGAAAATAAGTGCTTGAATGTATTGTGCCAGGGATAGTTAAAGACAATGAAGACAAATAAGGCAGGGAAGGCACATAGAGAGTGCTGGAGTGGATTTCTAATTTTAACAGAGCAAAGGCTGCATCAAGAAGATGATATTTGAGAAAGATGTGTAGGAATCCAGGGAGCAAGATATTGGGTATCTGGGGAAGGGTGTTCCAGGAGGAGGGAACAGCAGGTACACAGGCCTGGAGGCAGGATCTCAGCCAAGGCGCCAGGCTGTTCCATATGTCACTTCCTTCAGTCCTCCCCACGACCTGGTATTATTGGGGATATTTTATAACCACTTTAAAGACGAGGAAACATAGCCTTCATTGTGGTGGAGCCACTTCCCCAAGGTCCAAGAGACAGAGGTAGGAGAGGCAGCATCTGAACTGAGCCTAGAGGGGACGTCACACCATGCTCCCAGCCACCATGCCACACTGCCTCCAAGTCAGGCTGCGAACTCTAGCAACTCAGGAGGCACGGCATGTAGCAGACTCAATTCTATCTCCGTATGTCCAGACTGGGACTCGAGACATCCTGGGAAGCTGTCATCTAAAACTTTCAGTGCTAAACAGAACTTGGATTTTAATCCTTGTTGTGCCTTTCACCAGCTCTGCGATGCTGCACAATTGTGAAGCCTCAGTTTTGTTCCCTAAGAAATGGAAATAACATTAATATTCACCTCACAGGGCTGCTCTGAGCATTCACTGAGCTGATGCAGGTAGAGGGTCTACTTCAGTGCCTGCTGAAAAGAAAGCTCAACATGTTAGTTTATTTTTTGTTTTAGGTAACAAATACTCACCTAGTCCTCTTGGGGTGGGTTCTGTTATTTCCTCATTTGACAGACATTGAGACACACAGATAAAGTCTCTTGTCCAGTGCATTGGTCAGCTCAGGCTACTGTAACAAAATTCTGCAGGCTGGGGCTTAACCCACAGACGTTACTCCTCACGATTCTGGACACTGGGCGTCTAGGTCAGGGTGCAGGTGTGGGCAGGTTCTGGTGAGGACTGTCTTTCTGGCTTGCAGATGACTGACTGCCTTCTTGCTGTGTCCTCACGTGGCAGAGAGAGAAAGGGCCCTGGGCCTCTTCTTCTTCTTATGAAGGCACTGACCTCATTGTGAAGGCCTCACCCCTGCGACCTCCCCTAAACCTAATTATGTTCCAAAGGGTCATGTCCAAATACCATTCCACTGAGGGTTAGTGCTTCAATGTACGAATTTAGGGGGACATAATTCAGTCCATAGTGCCCAGTAACACACAGCTTGTGAGGGACAGAGCCAGGTTTTGAACCCAAGACGTCCATGCCCTCCAGCCCTTCACTCTAAAGTATCTCAGTTGTTATTATTATTAAAGATAGTGATTCCTTGGAGAGGGATTGACATTCACCAGGGAAAGAAGGGAGTAAATGAGTTTGAGGCCAAGGGGACGGGCACAGGTGAGAGCGAGGAGCCTTCATGAACCTGCAGGGCATCAGTGAATCTGGATCACGAGTTATGCGGGATTAGGAGCAGAAGATGAGGGAGGTGAGCTGAGCTGGAGCAGACTCTCAGGGTCTCGCATGTTCTAATGCGGTTTGGATTTTACCCTGAGCCGTGGGGAGCTGCTTCAGTGCGTGTGGGTCACAGACATGCCCCTTGATGCTTCCTCTCCACAGCAATGAAAGTGCGTGTAAGAAGGTGAGACAGGGGGTCAGGGAAACCCCTGGGCTTTTGTCCCTGGTGGGCTGTGCACTGCTGTTACCACCTAAGCCTCCTTCATCCTTATGACTTGGACCAATTTTCTGCTTAGATGTGGATGAATGTTCCAGAAACGTGACTCTTTGTGGTCCCAGTACTGTCTGCACCAACATCCCAGGAGAATACAGTTGCTCCTGCCTTCCTGGGTTCATTTCGCTTGAAGCTTGGACCCCCGAGCACCCGGAGGCTTTCCACTGTGCAGGTAATGCTCCCAGCCATGGGATGGCTTCTCAATGCATGTCAAACGACCCTGAAACATAAAACAGCCACCTTTTGCTCTAGCTCATGATTTTACAGGTTGACCACGGGGGTTTTCTGGGGTACCAGGGGGGCTGGCAGGCCTGAAATGGCCTTGTTTATGTGGCTGGTAGTTGGTGCTGGTCTCTGCCTGGGACCCCAAATTTTCACTGGGGGAGTTTCCACATGTCTCGTCAGACTTCCTCATAGCTGGACAGCTGGTCTCCAAGAAGAAAAGTTTAAAGAGTCAGAAAGCAGAAATGCCAGTCTTCGTAGGCCGTGCTTAGCAATCTTCTTCCACATTCTACTGGCCGCAGTCACAGGGCCCGCGTATGTTTGGAGGAAGGAGAAATGAACTCCCCATCTTGCTGGGGAAGTGTGTGTGCACAGGAAGTGAAAGTATCGATAGAGGCCATCCTCAGAGTCTCTGCTACACTGCAGAACACACTTGCATTCCTCAGCCCCCAGAGGAGATCCGTGCTTCGTTTCATTAGAAATGGGTAGTCCTTCTTACTGACCTGCACTAGCTGCTGACCTCATTAGAGGCAGAACGGTAGAGCAAGGCAGTTGAAAGGGATTTTAGAGAGATCGCTAACACAGCTCTAATGGCTTCAGGGAAGCTATTCAGAATCCCCATCAAGGGCAAGGAAGCAAAACTGTGGACCTCCACCCCCACTTCAGCCATACCATCATCTCTTTCATTTGTCTTACCTATTTGGGTTTCACTGCACATGAACAAAGGTTTTCTTGGTCAAAAAGTTTGGAAAATCATGCACCTAGACTAGCTTCATATGTGAAATATGAATTCCATCTCTGCTATTTCTGACAAGAGCTTGCCTAATCCGTGCTTAAATATGTCTGGAAATGGGGAGCTCACTCCTTGGTTAGAGATGTTTTCTGCGACACCAAGAGGAAACCACTTCCCCATGTTTTCCAGCTAGGGGCCATTTTCACATCCTTTGATGACTCCAAGTTAGTCCACATTCATATCCCGAGGGCTTCTTGTCCCAGCACTCCGTGGTAATGCCCAGTGCAACGTATCTGGTACCTCCTCAAGTGACTAGTGGACATTGCCTATTAACTCTTCATGCTCTGTGAGTTGATAGAGAAATATGAAAGGTTTTGTTGCCTCCCTCTTAATTATTTTCTCTAGGGCACTCGATGCCACATACAACCTCTGTGACTCAGAGACCATCAGAGGGAGTGGTGACCCTGCATTGCCCCTGTGACCTGACATCACTCTGTACTTGTTAGGCTGAGGTTTCTCAACCCTTGCACTACTGGCATCTTGGGCCTGATAGTTCTTGGTTTTGGGGAGCTGTCCTGTACATGGTAGGATATTTGGCAGGGCCTTTGGCCTCTACCTACCAAATCTCCCTAGCACCTCTCCCCCAATTGTGACAATCAAAAGTGTCTCCAGAATTGCCCAATGTTCCCTGGGGAGGCACAGTGCCCCCAGCTGAGAGCAAGAAGCTCAACACATTAGCAGTTTTTACTCTCATAACAATCCAATGTGGCTACACCGGGCTAATTGGCAGCGTCCTCCACAAGATGATAATAGGGGTACAACCTCCTTGTGTCTCTTGGTTCTTCTATCCCTCAAAACCTTGGAATCCCTGGTCCTGGCTATTAGCAGGTCAAGAGTGAGAAGGAACACCCTCTTCTTGGCCACACTGGCCCAGAAGTGACAAATGTCATGGGCTGTCACATTACGTAAGTGAAGACTAGTCACGTTGATACCAAACCCAGGTTCAGCTGCCTGCCACTCGAAAGCCAATAAACAAGAGATGAGGGCTGGTGAAAGGAAAGCAGGTGGCAGCCCAAGAAGATGGTGGACTAATGTCACAAAGACCATCTTAACAACTGGATGCAGGCCGGTGTTTTTATGAGGGACGAGGAAGAAAAACAAAGGAATTGGAGGGAAGGGTTGCAAGTTCTGTCTTGTGGGGACTGTGTGCACATCAGCACCTCTGTTCAGGTAACTGGTTGAGCTGGAATGTCTGGAGGTTGGAGTCTGCCGATTTTGAAGTTAGTTCCTAGAATTCTTAAGCAAACAGGCTGTTTATCTGCACTTAACATATTAGTTGACAAGTCATCCTTTACAGAAACAATGTAAAGAATGGTGGGGTGGGTTACAGCAGGCCTAACCTAGATGCAGAGGGTTCTGGGAAATGAGTCCTGTGCTTCAGAAGGGGAAGCAGGACTTTTGCTGGCTCGTTGGCCAGCTTTGCCTCATGCACACCCATTCTCTACCACACAGACATTGACGAGTGCCTGGATATGTGCCCTTTCAATTCAACGTGCACCAATACCCTGGGGAGCTACTTCTGTACCTGTCACTCTGGCTTTGCACCAAGCAGTGGACAGCTGAACTTCACAGAGCAAGAGGTGGAATGTACAGGTGAATGGACGATTGTCTGACATCCCTGGAAAAAAGTATCTCCTTGTTCCTTCAGTTGTTTGATGGTCTCAAGTTCTTTGCAGATATTGATGAGTGTGTCCAAGATCCATCACCATGTGGCCCCAATTCTGTCTGCACCAATGCCCTGGGCTCCTACAGCTGTGGCTGCAGTGTGGGCTTTCGTCCCAACCCAGAAGGCTCATGGGAATATGGCAACTTCAGCTGCAAACGTAATTATCTCCTTGTGTGTCTTGGCAATGGAATCTGTGTCTTGCTCACTGTACCCAACCTCTAGATCCTTTTCTTACTTTTACCTCATCCACATGTTCTTTATTTCTTCATTCATTCATTCATTTCCTCATTCAATCAGTTATTTTAGGGACGTCTATTAATTAGTTAATGATTCAAACAGGTCCCTGCTCTAGGTACTGAGAACTCAGTCCAGGAGGTGATGGGCATGAAACTTGCCCTCATGTAGCCTACACTCTAGAGAAGGAAGCAGAGAGCACAGGTATAATCATGATCACAGTGAGCGTGACCCCTGAAAAATGTTAGCACACTTTGGAGTGACTAGCGAGATATTTAATATGCTCTGAGAAAATGACATTTAAGCTGGAGCTTGAAGGAAGAGTAGGAATTATCTAGACAAAGAGTGGAGATTATGTGCAAAGGCCCCGAGTCTGCCACAGAGATGGGCAAAGGGAAGTGGCATTAGCTGCGTCTGAGAAGGTGGGCAGAGGTCACATTCTGCAGGACATTGTGAGCTGTGCAAAGAATTTTGGAGCCTTTTTGCCAAGAACAATGGGGAAGCAGAAAGGTTTAAAATTTTTAAGTTATGGATTATTTGAGATGTTAAAATATAGGCAACGTCAATAGAAGCAATGAAGTACAGCAATCAAATGAATTCACCTGAGGCCCTTGCCAATGTAAGAAGTGGAGTCTCTTCAATGTCCTTGTGCGTTCTGCATGCTCTTCCCCATTCCACATCCTGGCTCTGCCCCAGAGGGAACCACTCCGAGCTTTGTGTTTTTAATTACCCTACTTAAAAAAAAACATTTCTCCCTACCCTGGCCAGGTGGCTCAGTCGGTTGGAGCATCATCTTATACACCAAAAGGTTGTGGGTTCGATTCCTGGTTAGGGCACATACCTACGTTTTAGGTTCAATACTGGGTCAGGGCACGTATGGGAGGCAACCGACTGATGTTTCTCTCTCACATCAATGTTTCTCTCTCCCCTCTTCTTCTTTCCCTAAAATCAATAAACATATCCCTGGGCAAAGATTAAAAAATAGTAATAAAAAGAAAAAAATTTCTTCCCTTGTATGTATCTCTAAACAATATTTTACTTAGTTTTGCTTAATTTGGAGCTTTCTAAAACATCTCAGAGTCCCTGATGTTGTAGTGTATAGTATGTTTATGCCCACTCTTGTAATAATATGGCAATGGATGGATTTTAAATCACAGGTGATGCAATCAGACTTGCCTTCAGTCATATCTTGCTGTGGTTAAGTTTGATTTAGTTGCTTTTGTTTTCTTTCCAGGGGTTCCCTTCAAGTGTAAAGAAGATGTGATACCCAGCAATAAGCATGTCATGCTATGCCAAGAGGGAGTAGCAGTAGAACCTGAACAGGTAAGTATTTTTGAAGGTTCATAGCTATTGAGGTTTTCCTAGAAGCCAGTTATATAGGGTATTGTTTGCACCTTTAACAAAGGTAAAAATAACAGTGTCCTAAAACAGACAGCAGTTTATTTCTCTCTTTGTAAAAGTCTGAATGTAAGCTCTGAGAGCTGATATGGTGGCTCCATAATGCTCTGCCATCATTAACACAAGACTCTCTCATTGTGGCCCAATATGGTTGCTGCAGCTCCTACCATTACATCTGCATTCCAGCTGGTGGGCAGGGGAGAAGGGGAAGTAAAAAGCACTGGCACAGTATCACTTCTACTTATACCTCATTGGCCAGAAAGTAGTGACATGGTCACATAGTGAAAAGGAAAGCTGAGAAGGGAAGACTTTTGCTTATTTAAAACTTGGTGATTCTTTTACTAAAAGAAGAAATGATGTTGGACTCTCACTGTCAGTGACAGTATTGGGGCTGTATGTATGTGATATAGGGTGGGTGTTACACAGTCCCAGGCCAGCCAAAGAGGGATGTGGATGTCCTGGTTCTCTAATGAGGTGATTGTATCGAGTCAAGTCTTCATGACTGTCTTCAAGAATTGAGGTCACTATTTTAAATATGAGCTTGGAAATTTTCTTAGGAATTCCCATGCACTTTGGGCCACTGTTGTTTTTTTAAACTTCAGTAAAACACATGTAAAAGGCTCATTATTTAAATCATTTTAAAGTGTGTAGTTGTTAGACAAAGTGATTTCTGGGTCTTAACATGACCATTGCTGTCTAACAAAGCAAGCTGACCAGCATCACCCTGGGTGGGTGGGAGGGTCTGTTTTGCCTGAAATGAATGTTCTTGCATAGGTGAGAGGGCCCATTAAGTTGTTTTCTGCTTGGGACTAAACAGGGTTTAACCAGCATGTGCCTCTGGTTACCAGCCACCCGTGTTCTTGGAGGCTGTAGTATCGAACTCCGTCCCCTTTGAGGGCTGAGATCTGCCATCTTGCTGCCGCCCACAGGTGCTACTTCTGTCCACAAGTTCCCCTAATAGACTCTTGATGTCATTCTGGAGTTACCAGCCTCTTGGCTCCAGGAATTTTCCCAAGAAATGGAGAGCCAGCCAGGAGACTGGGGGAATGGGATAGGGGAAAGACTTTTCCTGGGGGTCAGTTTGGGTTGGCCAATGGCCTCTTTGTAGGGAAGGGTGGCCCCTATGTTGGACGCTTGCAGCCACTACGTATGAGTAGGGGGCCCCTGCAAACGCTGGCTGGGCTGGATGAAGCCTTTGCTTGCTGAGCATCATCTGGCCCATTGTGGTAAGGAAGGGCCTGGTACAAGAAACTTCAACAATCAGAGAATACTCCTCAGTTGAATTGCTAGATATTGTGGCTAAATTTCAACAAAAGCTGTGAGAAAACTTTCAACTTGGATGGTGAGGCTTTGGGACACAGGAGCTGATGGGATCTCTCTCTCCCAGCCTGATGGAGAAAAAATGAATAATATCACCAGTTACCCAGCACTAAGGCCAGGGAGATCGTTCTTTAATGGACTGTATAATAATGGGATTCAGGGAGCCCGGCCAAATGAGGGACACCTACCGGGACAAGCCAGTCCCTGGAAGCCTGTTGCAGGAAGTAGGAAGGAGACAGGATGGCTATGCCCAGGTGTTTGAGGCACCCACAGAGCTGCATTCACTGCTCGTAGGAACAATCACTTTTTGCAGGCAGCCCCCAAAGAATGGTATGGCCCTTTATCTTCTGCTTTAAGTCTGATAATCGGGCAAGGTGACTGATGTGGGGAATTTGATAGCAAATTTAGTCGAAACTGAATAGGGTCAAGATGGAGTCTGCCTTGTAACTAAAAAGGAGCCTTAAGCACGCCTCTACCCCAAAGAGTAAAGTGAAACATAAGGGGCCCATCTGTGATACATGTAGACAGAGGTGGAATAATCTAGTAACAAGTGGAACGACACAGGCGGCACAATGCAGTTCTGGTGGAACTGTGGAAAGAGCTCTGCCAGGACCAGCGATTTCTGCCTCTCCCCTTGGCCCTGGTCCACCACTGAACTCACCAGCTGGTTCCCGCCATTGCCTGAGACTAGGGGTGGGGCCAAGGTTGCCCACAAGTAAGGGCAATAGGGGGTGTCCAGAGGCCCCACATAGAAATCACAATATATCTGTCCCCCTAAAACAAAGAGAACATTGCCCTTGTGGATGCAGATGCAGAGTGCACCCCCCATACACAGCAACCTGGAAAAGTTTGGGGGGCCCTGGGTTGCCATGGGTGGGTATGGGGGAAAGGCAGTATGAGTAAAAATTTTATTATCCATCCAAACAGGGTGCTTTCCCCTTATTTAGTGTTCATTTCCCCACTCCAGGAGAATACACTGGGAATGGATATTGTCCTGGGAAAAACATTCCCAGGGGAATCGTGTCTCCAAGTGCAGGCTGTGAAGGCCACCCTGAGAGGTGAAGCCCTTTGAGAACCTGCCAGCCTCTTTCTTCAGTCTCTGGGCTTTGGGAAAATTTTACAACAATTTAGGGGCATTTAGTACATGCACAATCGTGTACAATGGCCACTTCTAGCTCCAAAACATTCTCATCACCCTTGAGAGAAACCCTGTACCTATTAAGTTATTTTCCATCCCTTCCCCCAGCTCTTGTGAGCACTAATCCACTTTCCTCTGCATAGATGTGCCCGTTCCGGACATGCCGCATGAATGGAACCACACACGGTGTGGCCTCCTGTGCTTGGCTCCCCCCACTGAGCATCGTGTGTCCATGGTCCATCCACACTGTAGCAGGTGTCAGAGCTTCGCTCCTTTCATGGCTGAGTGGTGTTCTGTGTAGACACTGATTGGTTTCACACATCTCTCCATCATTTCACCCCACCGTGTAGTTGTGCCTTCACGTTTGATGTTTATGCACAGAAGAGAGAGGTGCTGTGGTTGGTTCCAGTCTCGGTCACATGGTGTGTTTTTATTTCCCTGAGAATTCTAGAGACTCATGACACCTCAGGGACTGAGGGCCATCCTGACAGAGGGCTTGGTGGCCCAGGTGGGCCCTCGAGTGCTCGGGAGACGGGCAGATCAATGCTCACGGATGCTTCCTTCTGCACAGATGTCATTTTGTACGCTGATGAACGCCACCTTCAGCGTCCTGGACGAGACCTGTGCAAACAAAACCACTGTTGTTTCTCTGGAGGTAAAGATGTGTCTTTGTAGTTTGTGTTTTGAACACCTCAGGGGACACTTGGAGTGCAAAAAGTCCATTTTATAGTTGATGAGGTGGGAGTTCACATTTAATTTATGAAAGTTGTAAGGTTTTAAAAAATGTTTAACAGACAGCACAATTGCCCTTTTCTGTTCAATTTTACAAGTTTTAGCACAACCTTAGTAGATTGGTATAACTACCACCATGGTCAGAACACAGAACAGTTCTATTTCCCCCTAAAACTCCTTTGGACTTCCCCTTTGTAGTCAAGTACGCTGTCCTCCACTAGCCTCTGTAAATCCCTGATCTGTTCTCTCATTATAGTTGTGTCTTTTTAAAATGTTACATAATGCAATTTACTTAGTGCCATGCCTTACCAACAGCCCCACGTTCTGTTTTGGTGACCTAGTGACATATCAGTACAGTCACAATATGGAGCAGCCATCACCACTATAGTTCCAAAACATTCTTACCACACCCCCCAAAAAAACCCTGCATAAGCATCTCTCCTCATTTCCCTACCCCCACCCCACCTAGTCCTTGGCAACCACTAATCTACTTCCTGTCTCTGTGGGTTTCCCTGTTCTGGACGTGTCACTTAAACAGAATCGCACACGGTGTGGCCTTCTGTGTCTGGCCTCTCTCACTGAGCACCAGGCATTCAAGGCCCATCCGTGTTGCAGTGAGTGTCAGAGCCTCGCTCCTTTTCCTGGCTGAGTGATGTTCCCCTGTGTGGGTGGACCACAGTTTACTCACTCATCTTTAAAGAATATTTGGATTGTTTCCACTTGAAAAGCATCTCTTTATTTCCTTACCGCCACCCCGGCTTTTGGGGATCGTTAGTGGAGCTGCCCTGAATGCTTGCGTCCAGTCTGCGTGCGTGCACCTGAGCTGACGCTGTGCCAGCGTCTGTGCCTGGGACTGGGGTTTCTGGGTCATTAACATTGTAGATTTAAAACCTAATAGTTCTTAATCTTTAAGTCGGACTAACGGATGTTGCTATTTTATTTATAAATGTTTTTGTACAAAAATAAGAATATCACTTTCATTTGTAATTTGATTAATTTAGAGATCACTTATTAGTATAACATACTTATTCCTTCAGTGCACATTCATTTATAGGGTCTTCAGATTAAATTTATATAAATAATTAACCACTTTTTACAAATTTAGTAAAATTCTTTCAAACATTTTATACTATGTTTATAAATATTCTTACTTCCCCCCCAAATTTCAAGTATCTAATGAGGAAATTTACAACCTAAAAGGCAAGGTTACTATGTCCTTAAGGAATTCACAAATCTAATCAAATGTCTAAATACAATAATTCAGATTTTAAAAGCTTTAATATAGCTTATAAACACTTGCATTCTCTTAAATTGTTTATGTTAAAATCACAAGTCTAAATGCTTTTTGCAGTGAAATCATGTGGTGAGCTGGTTAGCTTCTCAGATGTGTCAAATTGTTCCAAACCCTTCAAACAATAGATTTCCTGATTGTGCCAAAGATTACAAAACCTTTTAATTTTAATACAAAAGTACTACCAATATTGAGTTTGTTTGCCTCAATTACAGTTAAAAACTAAGCTAGATTAGTTTTTATTAATTTTTTACTTTCCTGAGGATACAAAAAAATATCCTAGCTAAGAAGAATAGATTTAACATTCCAGAGGGAGTTTGATGCGATTTCGTTGGCCATGGAAGTGAGGACCACTTTTCCCCAGGCCGACTCTGGTGGAGTGTTTCCTGCTGTGTGGGTGGGGCAGGACCCCAAACTCCCGCCTTCAGCTGGGAAAGTTACAGAATTCCATGCACCCCACTTCTCCTGGACAATCATCTCTCAAGTTTCATCCTGACCCAGTTTTTATTGAAAAATTTTTCACCTAATTTGGATAAATAGAAATTAGTATCCTCGCTAAGATTTAGGTTAATTTCCTTCAACCTCTGACTGGATTCAGTTAGTTTCTTCCCTGCGTTTAGTAGGTTGTGAATTCTTTATACATATTATATTTTTGTTGTTGGGGTCAGAGCCACATTTTATAGTCCATTTATTGCCAATAATCAATCAGAGGAATAGTGTCAATATCATCATCATCATCATCATCATCATCATCATCACTGGTCTTAACTCTGTCCCACAGACATTACCAATGTAACATTTACATGCTTATTTTCCATACCTTTTTACTTTGTGAATGTATCACAGACATTGAAGCCATTTCTTGAGCAGGATTCAGCCTCTGATTCCCGACTTCCAAGGTTCAAAACTTGGTTCTGCCACCTACTAAATGCGTCCTTGTTTCCTCATCTGAAACAGAAAGAATTGTAGCCTGTACTCATAGATCTCTTTCTAAAGTCAAATAAGTTAGTATGTGACGCTTCAAACAATACCTGGCTCATTAAGTGTTAGTTATTTTTAATTTATGAACCAGAAACATAAATACCATAAATATAAAATTCTAAAGTAGTTTTTTAAAACTAAATGAGATAATACATGCATGTCACTCTGTAATGTGCTTTATTTAACAATAGCTCACAGGCCTTTTTGCTGTTAAATCATATTGATATGCTACATCATTCTTTTATTAGCAGCTGCACTGTGATTTGATTTTATTATTTGCTTAAACCAATCTGTTGGACATTTAGGCTTGCTGACTTGTAACCACACTGAAATGAGCATCACCAAATAAGATCCTTGCACAATTTTAAATTATTTCTGGAAGGATTAATTCCTGGAAGGGAAGTGCCTGGGTCAAAGGGTGTGTGCAGCTTATGCTGTTACAGGGGCTGACTTGCTGCACACCAGAAAGGCTGCACCAATGTGCAGTCCTCGTGGGGCCTCTTGAATCGGGGAAGAAGAGGCTGAGTGGATGCCCTTTTAATTCTTCATCAGCCTAGACTGTCAGACCACTCTGTTGCTAAGAGAGGGGACAGCTGCTATTTCATCTATTTCATGGATGAGAGAGAGAGAGAGAGAGAGGAGAAAGAGAGAGAAAGAGAAGGAGGGACAGAGACACAGAGATAGACACAGAAGAGAGACAAAGACAGAGAGACAGAAGAAAGAGACACACAGATAGTGAGAGAGAGCGCACAAACACCCCTTTCTTTGCAGAGTACAGCGGAGAACTTCGTCTCTGTGCTTGAACAAACATCTGTGTGGTCCAACTTCACCAAAGACAAGGTGTCCACCCTGGCCACAGTCTTGCTGGAGAGTGTGGAAAGCACCACAATGGCAGCTCTTCTGAAATCCTCAGCGAATGGCAGCCAGACTGTTCAGACGGAGCACTTAGGTAGGACATGTTCTTCACGGCAAGGTCACACCTGGGTGCTGATTTTGAGGAGTGACTTTGGTGATGTAATTCTCCATGGCTTTCTCATGTACCATTCCCCCAAGTGTTTCAAATCTCTGAACTCACAGCAAAGCAAGTCCAATCATATTAACAATATCTCTCCTGGAATGAGTGCTGGGTGCTGTGTTAAGAGTGTGCTGCCAGGTACTGCATTTGGACAAGAATTTGTTGAGTGCTTACTCTTTGTCAGGTGTTAAGGGATGTTAGTCAATCGCTGTGTTCAGATATTTCCAGCTCTCTCTCCTGGGCTCACGGTAGGATGGTGTTTCCTGGCTTGGAGTTAGGTGGGGTGCTGTGACTAGCCCCTGTCAGTGGACTGTGGATGGAATAGTTGTGAGTGTAACACTCTCCAGAGCTTTCTTTCCCGCTGCCCTAGTGACAGGTCATGTTTCAGATCACAGTTTCTCCATCTGTGCAGGTCTCAAGGTAAGGACAAAATATAGAGAGCACAGTCCCAAGCCAATATGCTAATGGGAAATGATTGTTATTTTTAATCCACTAAGATTTGGGGTTGTTTGTTACTAAGGCATACCTGATCCTCTCCTGACCAATACACCCCAAACATGAGTGATCTGTGATCACTTGGGAACCCTGGGTGCTGTAGACCTTTTATGATGGCATCCCACTCCTAGTATTTGTTCTGGGATCAGACATGTAGCCTTTGGGTTTCTATCCTGATGGGCACCCACAAGGCCAAAATGTAGAAATAGAGTATCTTGTGAAGTGCCACCAGTAGTAAACAAGGACAGCCTCATGGATCTTATATGTTAGTGAGCTGAGTCAGACAGACAGACATCTGGTATACTGGACAGAGCTAGTGCTATTGAGAAAGATGCAGCAGGACAAGGAGGCTAGAGGGGGACAGGCTGGGAGGGACCACTGCCTCTTACATGGAGCGGAATGGTTAGGGAAAGTCTCACTGGGGCAGGGACCTGGGGGAAGGGAGCCGTGTAAACACTTGGAGAGAGGGCAAGTGCAGGAATACTTGCTGAGTTCAGGGAACACTAGGCCAGTGTGGCTTGATGTGAAGGAGTCAAAAAGAAAGGGAGATGCACATTTTGTAACAAATGAAAAGACACAAGATTTTGTTTGAAGTAAGCTGGGTTGGGGAGCAGAAGTGGAGAGTCTGAGAATGGGCATGACATTGTGTATATTTTAAAAAGATACTTTTGGTTCCATTATCTACTGTGTTTTCACGAAGAGTTCCATAATTATGGCTTTGTTACAGGTGAGATATCTGAGGCTCAGAGAGGTTAAGACTTTGCTTAAGTTGGCACAGCTGGCGAGCCGCAGAGCTGGGCCTCCCAGTTAGCACCATCTGACTGCAGAACCCCAGCCCTCGTCCACACACTGGGCTCACCCCAGTCCCTTCTTATTTTCTTTGGCTTTGGAAAACGTGCCTAAATTTGGAGTAGCCAGAGGCCATGACTGTGGAGCCTTCCATCCCTGTTGACTTCTGCCCCATCTTCCCCGATGCATCGTCCCCTGAGGTGTGAGAGCTCACTTCTCGAGCTGCAGCTGGGTTTCACCTTTGTTTATTGCTGCCATCCACCTGTCATTCATGAAGGTGCTCAAGTTCATTCCCAGGATCAGTTGGCCTTTCCGTTCTTTCCTTGGCTTGTAACCAGGGAGGCAAACCTGTGTCATTGGCCAGAAACCAAAATCAGGACCCGCTTTCTGGGTGATGTCCTGCAAAGTCTCCCTTTTTCCTTTTAGATATTGAGAGCAGAGTCATCAAGGACGAATGCACTGCAGAGAACGTGACCTTTAACTTGAAAGCCAAAGGGGACTCGATGAAGATTGGCTGTTCCACAATTGAAGAATCTGAATCCACAGGTACAGACCTGCTTGTGAGATTCGAGGAGGGTGGCGTGGGTGCATTCAGTCAGTGAATGTAAGTTGATCACCTCCCAGGTGCCGGGCAGTGGGAGAATTGTGACGATGGAGGCAGAAATAGGCCTGGCCTCAGGGAGCTTTCCATCTGCTGGGGAAGTCAGACATTAAACAAATACTCTCGTAATACTGGAGTATCGAAACCTGCACTGTCCAATACAGCAGCCACTGGCTGAGTTTGGTCACCGAGCACTTGAAAGGGGGCAAAGCCGTGAGTGTAAAATGTACACCAATTCCAAAGGTTTGGTGCAAAAAAAAAAAGAATATAAGCTATCTTACTAATAATTTTATTATTGACTGAATGTTGAAATGTTATTTTGTATGTGAGCTAAATTGTTTTAATACATTGTATATATTTTTTCCTTTTCTAAAATGTGACTACTAGAGAATTTAAAATTACATGTGAGGCTCATACCCTACTTCTAGCGGACAGCGCCACTCTGTCCTGGGGGTGGCAGGCTTGCCTGCAGAGGCCTGGTGGGTGTGCTCTTAGGCACCGAGGACAGTACAGATCTCCATCCCAGTTATTCCGCCGTGCTGTCTGGGTGCAAGGGCGTTCATGGGCAATATGTGCATGAAAGTATGTGGCTGTGCTGCAATACAACTTTCATTTAGAAAATAGAAGCACCCAGATAATGACTCAATTGGCCTGCCAGCCCCTGTCAGCCATGCCTGGATCTGTGTGCTCTCTGGAGGGCCCAGGGTGCAGCAGGCCCAGGACACATCCCTAAGGACCACCAGCATTGAGAGGGGAAGCCCACCCAAGAGACTGAATAAGAATAGCCAGAAATGTGAGACAGGAACTTAGTTCCCACTGCTGGGTTAAATTATCCCTTAAAAATACGATTCCAAATGTATTTTCCAAGGTAGCCCAGATTTCTCCAGGTGATGGCACCTTGGGGTTTTCTCTTTATGGTTCTGCTGAGGGTCAACTGGAAGTCCACTGGTGTCTCAGTCCCCAGAGTGGGCCAGTGAAGGTGCAGAGAACGGGGGCTACTAAAGCACATGTGTGTATGCATTTGTGGGGCCAGCTGTAATACCTAGTAAGCAAACAATTCTTTTTTTTTCCCACTTGGGGGACATGCAGGGACCACTGGGGTGGCTTTTGTCTCCTTTGCGGGTATGGAGTCTGTTCTAGATGAGAGCTTCTTCCAAGACCCTCTGACCCCTAACTCCAAGAGGAAGTTGAAGATGAATTCTCACATCATTGGGGGCATGATGACGGGGGAGAAGAAAGACGGGTTCTCGGACCCGGTTGTCTACACTCTGGAGAACATCGAGGTTTGTAAAGGGCTCCCACTGAGCCCCCTACCTACCTGTTCACGGGCCCAACTCTCACTTCTTGTGGCAACCCATTTTCGGCAGTTAGGTGTCCGCAGTTGCTAGTAGCTCAAGCCAATTGTAAAAGAATGAGCTCTTCTATTTCTGTGTGATGTTTTTCCATCTTCAATGAAGAAGGTTTAGGTGAGATGAGGCAACACTGATGTGGGAACATGCACGTGGTGTTTATTACATTAGCTACAACCAAGCCAGTGATAGAGAAGGTGTGGCATCCAAGACATTTCTTTTCATCACCACATGTTGAAATATCAGCACCCCCTCCCCCTATTCCCTACAGAACACACATACCTGCATCTTCTTGCCTCAGTGACTCTTGAGCGGTCACAGTGAGTCATTCAAGAGGGACTGTCTGGTGACCAGGGCCTTTGAATTTTCAGCCAAAGCAGAAGTTTGAGAGGCCCATCTGTGTTTCCTGGAGCACAGACGTGGGGGGCGGTAGGTGGACACCGTCTGGCTGCGAAGTCCTCAAAGCCTCCGAGATGTATACTGTCTGCAGCTGTAGTCGAATGGCGAACCTGGCTGTCATCATGGCTTCCGGGGAGCTCACGGTCAGTATATAACCCCTGTGCTCTGATCCCCACCCCTGACTGGAAATGTTGATGGAACATCTGTGAGCCCCACGTGGTGTTGTGTGTTATGTGAAGGAGTCGTGGGGCCGGAAGGGGTGTTGCCCTGCCTCTGCCCGGAGAATATGCATGTTCTGGTTGGGAAGCCATGCCATTTGTATATCAAATAAGAAATCACTCCAAATAGGGGCAGGCACAATGCGAATCACAGGTTCTGTTTAATGAGCACCTATTGTGTGCTGGACCCTTTATTGGGAGGTGTGGTTTTTTTTAGGCCCATTTTATAAGACATGAGACACATTTTATAGGGTAACTAAGCAGTCTGCCTAGTTATGAAGCTTGTAATTGGTGGAGGTGGGGTTTGAACCCAGGACAGCTTGGTTCCAGAGGTCTCTTTCACTAAATCATACAAATGGAGGGCACAGGGAAGCTGCAAGAGGCTGCGCTGTGGGAATTCAGAAGTATTTCAGTGAGAGGTGATGACAGAATCAGGAAGGAAACAGTAAGAAATGAGCCTTGGTGAGTGGGTAAGCTTGGCAGAGAGGATGGACACCCTGCTCAGTCCCGTGGTGAGCGTTCTTGCCTGTCAGGCCAGATCTGAGGTTCGGTCTTCTGCCAGGAAGGCTCTGAATGCTGCTTAGAGGAATATAATGCTTAGGACTTAAGAGAATCAGATCCCGAGCAACAATGACCTAGTTCAAGTTCCATTTGTATCACTTCCTGGCTGTGTTTCCTTGGGGAAGCCACTCAGCCTCTGAGCCTGAACTCAGTTCTTTCATCTCAAAAATGAGAACAAGAAAAATAAATAATGAAAACGAACACTCCTACAATATGTAATATGTTTGTGGCATAGTTGTGAGTAATGTAAATATTTTCATTGAATGCTCCTAACATCCTAAAACCATCCTATATGGTGGTAACTATCAGTACCCTTTTCTTCCTTTTTTAAAAAATTTTATTTAAATTGTTGTTGCAGTACAATTTTCTATCTTCTACTCACATCCCAGCCCACCTACCCAGCCCTCCCCTCCTCCCCCCATTTTCACCCCCCCTAGCTTTTTATCCATTTGTCCTTGACACTTGTTCCTGTAAACCCTTCCTCTTTTCCCCTGAAATTCCCTCCCCTCTGAACACTGTCAGCCTGTCCTCTATTTCAGTGTCTTTGGTTATATTTTGCTTGTTTCTTTGTTTTGTTGTTTAGGTTCCTGTTAAAGGTGAGATCATATGGTATTTGTCTTTCACTGCCTGGCTTATTTCGCTTAGCATAATGCTTTCCAGCTCCATCCATGCTGTTGCAAAGGGTAGGAGCTCCTTCTTTCTTTCTGCTGCATAGAATTTCATTGTGTAAATGTACCATAGTTTTTTGATCCATTCATTTACTGATGGGCATCTAGGTTGCTTCCAGCACTTGGCTATTGTAAATTGTGCTGCTATGAACACTGGGGTGCATAGGTTCTTTTGGATTGGTGTTTCAGGGTTCTTAGGATATAATCCTAGCAGTGGAATCACTGGGTCAAAAGACAGATCCATTTTTAGTTTTTTGAGAAAATTCCACACTGTTTTCTATACTGGTTGTACTAGTCTGCAATCCCACCAACAGTGCACGAGGGTCCCCTTTTCTCCACAACCTCTGCAACACTTGTTGTTTGTTGCTTTGTTTATGATGGCCATTCTGACCAGTATGAAGTGGTATCTCATTGTGGTTTTAGTTTGCATCTCTCTGATAGTTAGCCATATTGAGCAACTTTTCATTTGTCTATGGATTCTCTGTATGTCCTCCTTGGAGAAGTGTCTGTTCAAGTCCTTTGCCCATTTTTGAATTAGGTTGCTGGTCTTCTTAGAGTGGAGTCATGTAAGTTCTTTACATATTTTGGAGATTAAACACTTGTGTGAGGTATCATTGGCAAATATGTTCTCTTTTTATTTTAATACTGGTTTCTTTAGCCATGCAGAAGCTTTTTATTTTGATGAGATCCCATTTGTTTATTCTTTCCTTTATGTCCTTGCTCTGGGGGACATATCAGTAAAAATGTTACTGTGTGAAATATCTGAGATTTTCCTGCCTATGTTCTCCTCTAGGACTTTTTTGGTGTCATGACTTATATCTAAGTCTTTTATCCACCTTGAATTTATGTTTGTGTATGGTATAAGTTGGTGCTTGAGTTTCATTTTTTTGCATGTAGCTGTCCAGTTCTCCCAACACCATTTGTTGAAAAGGCTGTTTTTACTCCATTTTATATTGCTGCCCCCTTTCTCAAATATTAATTGACCACAGAGATTTGGGTTTATTTTCTGAGCTCTCTGTTCTGTTCCATTGGTCCTTGTGCTTGTTTTTATGCCAGTACCAGGCTGTTTTGATTACAGTGGCCTTGTAATACAGTTTGGTATCAGGTATTGTGATCCCTCCTACTTTACTCTTCTTTCTCAAAATTGCAACAGCTATTTGGGGCCGTTTATGGTTCCATATAAATTTTTGAAGTGTTTGTTCTATGTCTGTGAAATATGCCATTGGTACTTTAATAGGTATTGTATTGAATCTGTAAATTGCTTTGGGTAGTATGGACATTTTGATGATGTTAATTGTTCCGATCCATGAACATGGTATATGTTTCCATTTGTGTTTTCCTTGATTTCTTTCTTCAGCGTTGTGTAGTTTTCTGCATACAGGTTTTTTACCTCCTTGGTTAGATTTATTCCTAGGTATTTTATTTTTCTTTTTGCTACATCAAATGGGATTTTTTTTCTTGATTTCTGCTTCTGCTGTTTCATTGTTGGTGTACAGAAATGCCTTTGATTTCTGGATATTGACTTTGTATCCCGCTGTTCTGCATTCATTTATTAGGTCGAGCAGTTTTTTGGTGGAGTTTATAGGATTTTCTATGTACACTATCATGCCATCTGCAAACAGTGACAGTTTTGTTTCCTCCTTTCCAATTTGGATTGGATTTTTTATTTCCTTTTCTTGTCTGATCGCTGTGGCTAAAACTTCCAATACTATATTGAATAGAAGTGGTGAAAGTGGACAACCTTCTCTTGTTCCTGATCTCACTGGAAAAGATTTTAGTTTTCGCCCATTGAGTATGATGTTGGCTGTAGGTCTGTCATATATGGCCTTTATTATGTTGAGGAATACTCCCTCTATTCCCACTTTGCTGAGTGTTTTTATCAAAAATGGGTGCTGTACCTTATCAAATGCTTTTTCCTCATCTATTGATATGATCATGTGATTTTTGCATTTGCTTTTGTTCATGTGATATATTACATTTACTGATTTGCAAATATTGAACCATCCTTGCATCCCTGGGATGAATCCCACTTGGTCATGGTATATGATCTTTTTAATGTATTGTTGGATGTGGTTTGCCAATATTTTGTTGAGGATTTTAGAGTCTATGTTCATCAGTGATACTGGCCTGAAGTGTTCTTTCTTTGTTGTGTCTTTATCTGGTTTTGGGATTAGGATGATGCTGGTTTCATAAAAAGAGTTTGGGAGTCTTCCATCATTTTGGATTTTTTGGAATAGTCTGTGAAGGATAGGGGTTAGCTCTTCCTTAAATGCTTTGTAGAATTCTCCTGTGAAACCATCTGGACCTGGACTTTTGTGTGTCAGGAGTTTTTTGATTACTGCTTCAATTTCATGTGCTGTTATTGGTCTTTTCAGGCTTTCTGCTTCTTCTTCATTGAGTTTTGGAAGATTATATTTTTCTAGAAATTTGTTCATTTCACCTAGGTTTTAAAATTTCTTGGCATAGAGTTCTTCATAGTAATTTCTTATAATCCTTTGTATTTCTGTGGTGTCAGTTGTAATCTCTCCTCTTTCACTTCTGATTGTGTTTATTTGGATCCTTTCTCTTTTTTTCTCGATGAGCCTGCTTAAAGGCTTGTTGATTTTGTTTATCTTTTCAAAGAACCAGCTCCTGGATTCATTGATCCTTAGAATTGTGCTTTTAGTTTCTATGTCATTTAATTCTGCTCTAATCTTGGTTATTTCCTTCCTTCTACTTTTTGTGGGCTGTCTTTGTTGTTGTTCCTCGAGTTCTTGTAGACATAGGGTTAGGTTGTTTGTTTGAAATGTTTCTATCTTTTTAAGGTAGGCCTGTATCGCTATGAATTTCCCTCTCAGGACTGCCTTAGCTGTGTCCCATAAGTTTTGGGTTATTGTGAGTTCATTTTTATTTGTTTCTAGAAACTTTTTGATTTCTTCCCTTATTTCATTCTTGACCCATTCATTGTTTAATAGCATGCTATTCAGTCTCCATGAGTTTGCATGTTTCGGGTTTCTCTCCTTGGGGTTGGTTTCTGGTTTCAGTCCCTTGTGGTCAGAGAAAATGCTTGGTATAATTTCAATTTTGTTGAATTTGTTGAGACTTGCTTTGTGTCCTATCATGTGGTCTATCTTTGAAAATTTTCCATGTGCATTTGAAAAGAATGTGTACTTTGTTTCTTTGGGATGAAGGGCTCTCTATATATCAGTTAAGTCCATTTCCTCTCGGGCATTGTTCAATGCCACAATGTCTTTGTTAATGTTTTGTTTGAAAGATCTGTCCATTTTTGATGGTGGAGTGTTAAAATCCCCTAGTATAATTGTGTTGCTGTCAATATCTTTCTTAAAGTCCTCTAAGATTTCTTTATGTATTTGGGTGCTCCTATGTTGGGTGCATATATATTTACAATGTTTATGTCTTCTTGGTGGATTCTTCCCTTGAGTATTATGAAGTGTCCTTCTGGGTCTCTTTTTATGGCCCTTTTATTTAAGTCAATTTTGTCTGATGTGAGTATTGCTACCCCGGCTTTTTTTCCCTGTCCATTTGCTTGGAATATTTGTTTCCAGCCCTTTACTTCCAACCTGTGTAGGTCTTTTGTTCTGAGGTGGGTCTCTTGAAGGCAGCATATGTGTGTGGTTCATGCTTTCTTATCCATTCAGTTATTTTATGTCTTTTGATTGGAGCATTTAATCCATTTACATTTAAGGTTTTTATTGATAGGTACTTATTCATTGCCATTTTCGTACCTGTGTTCCTCTCTCTCTCTTTTCCTTCCTTTCCTTAAAGCAGGCCCTTTAGCATATCTTTTAGAGCTGGTTTGGTGGAGGTGTATTCTTTTAGACTTCTTTTGTCTGGGAAGCTCCTTATTTGGCTGTCCATCTTGAGTGAGAGCCTTGCTGGGTAAATTAGTGTTGGTTGCAGGCCTCTGGTTCTCATTACTTGGAATATTTCGTGACATTCTCTTCTGGCTTGGAGTGTTTCCATTGAGAAGTCAGCTGCTAACCTTCTTGGGGCTCCCTTGTATGTTACTTTCTGTTTCTCTCTTACTGCTTTTAAGATTCTCTCTTTGTCTTGGAATTTTGCCATTTTAATTATGATGTGTCTTGAGGTGGGCCTGTTTGGGTTCCTCTTGATTGGGACTCTCTGTGTTTCCTGGATTTGTGTGACTTTTTCTCTCATCAAATTAGGGGAGTTTTCCATCATTACTTTTTCAAATAGGTTTTCTATCCTTTGCTCTTCTTCTCCTTCTGGTATCCCTATTATACGGATACTATTACATTTCATATTGTCTTGCATTTCTCTTAATCCCTCTTCATTTTTCTCTGAGCCTCTTTTCCTTTTCTCACTCTTTCTGGGTATTTTCTTCTACTTTGTCCTCTAGCTCACTGATCTGATCTTCTGCTTCATCAGTCATGCTTTTCATTCCTTCTACTATGTTCTTCAGTTCAGAAATTGTATTCTTCATTTTCTCTTGGTCCTTGTTGATAGTTTCTATTTCCTCTTTCATGTTGATATTGTTTTCAGTGAGTTCATTGTAGCTTCCCTATAGTTTCTGGTAGCTCATTGTGAGCTCATTGAGCTTCCTGACAATCATTGCTTTGAACTCAATATCTGATAGTTGAGTTGCCTCTATTTCATTTAGCATTCTTTCTGAGGCTTCCTCCTTTCCCTTCATTTGGGGATTGTCTCTTTGTCTTCCCATGGTTTGTGAGACTCTTCTTGTTAGCCTCAGCTTCCTAAATTGATCTGTTCTGGCTCCCTGGGTTTATGGTGTGAACTTCTGTGGTAGAATAGCAGTGATTTTCAGTGGTGCAGTCTCCTTGATCTCCCGAGCTCACTGGTCTTGGGCTGTCATTTAAGTTGGCTCTGTGTTTGTCTTTGGGTTTTGATTGTTGTTGGGTCTTTCTTTGGTGCTTCCTTCCCACCAGCTGGTTAAGTGAGGGTCACTCTGTCCACCACCTCTTTTATTTTGTTGTGCTGGTGAGGGCAGGTTGTGTTGAAGCTGGTTCTTCCAAGTGTATAAGGTTTTGAGGATTCTCTCTTGCTCTTGTTCAGTTGTTTGTACTGGGTAGTGTCTCTACTGTTTAGTTGTATTTCCAGATAGGTCCTGGATTGAGGTTTGTGTGGTTTCCACTCCTTCCTTCACCTTCTTCTGTTGTTATCTGTTAGTGGTTCCTTTGTTGTTGGGTTTCCTCTTCCAGTGGGTATCCTGGTGTTCACTGCTTCCACCTACTCTTTTTTGTGATCAGTTGGAGGGGGAGGCAAAATGGTTTAAGACAGCAAGAGAGTATTCTATGATATTTACAGTAGCAGCCAGTAGAGAAGAGATAGGAGATCCTTTGGTTATGTATAGTGTTAACTGTGATCTTCCTCCCAACTAGCTGATTTTTAGAAAGGATGGAAAGAAGATAAAACTCTTGTTGGGGAAGGAAGGATTGTGAGTTGGATATAGAAAGCAGTGAGGTTGTGGGAGGTCAGATTCTGAGGTAAGGTGAGAGTAAAGGATAGTAAATAGGTGTAGTGTGTAAGAGAATAAAGTTAACCACTATAGTAACAGAGTTCATAAAACCGCAAAGTGGGCTAGGATCTGGGAGGGGTGTTGTGAAGGATTTACAATTGCATGGAACAGCAATTATTTACAATAATATTAGAGTAACAATCATATGACAGAATCTATGTGATCTAGATAACAAGAATAGGGAGTATAGAACCTTGAGTAGTGTGCTAATGGGGTGCAAGTGAAGTGAAGGACAGTAAATTAGCAATACACTATGAAAGAGAGATCAGGGGAACCTATCAAGTGATATAATATAACCAGCCTAGCAAAGTAGACTATCTAGAAAGAAGAGGAATATGATAAAACTGGAGGAAAGAAAGGAAGAAGGAATAAAACAAGAAAGAAGGAAAGAGAGGAGAAAGCAATTGAAAGAGAAAAAAATAATACAAATTAAAAAATTAAAAATTGTTAAAAAATAGAATACAATTAAAAAGCCTCTTGGTTTCAAAGTGGCCAAACCGGTTTTTCTGTTCTTGCTGGCTGGCAGGCTGAGGGGTAATTGGTATGGCTTTCCTTCCTTCCCGATCTGCACTGGGCACACTGTCTGGGGAGCTATTGTGGCACCTCTCCTCTACGCCCTGGGTGTGGGAACCAGGCCTTTCCCCAGGGTTACCGCTGTGGGCTGGGGTGCGGGGGTGTGCTCCTGCGTGTGCCCTCAGCCAGAGTACCTCACCCTTCCCAGTGCTACGGGGGTGCGCAGGGTCCTCTGTACAAGCATAACCTTCCGTGCAGCCTCGGGATCGCTGCCCGGCTGGGTGGCAGGGAGGCTGGAGCGATTGCCGTAGGAGAATTCCCGAAACAGTGTCTGTCTTTTTACTTTTTCTTTTTGAGAAATTCCTCCTACTCAAGCCTGCCGCTCCATACAGTGGCCCAACTCTTGAGCCAGACCAGTGGCTGCGGGGGTTGGGGCCCGTTGTGCGACTCTCAACTCTGCCGGTGTCCACAGACTCCGAGGGTGCTCACAGCCCCTGTGTGTTTGCTAGCAACTGGGTTTCTCCTGGTGCAGCTCAGACCTTGTTTGTCTGGGGAGGGAGCAGTTGCCCCGGCTCTCTCCCAAGGACTCTGTGGTAAACCCGACAGCAGGCACCGGGCCTGGGGCGGCAGCCCCCCTGGACCCTGCGCTGGTCCCTGGGACCTTATTGTCCTGAAGCGCTGTTCTTATCGTCCGGTTTTTTGGTTCCACTATAATTTTTGGTCCCTTATTTTCATATATGTGGAGGTATGTTGGTTGTTTGCTCTTTTACTCCGTAGATCAGCCAAGGTTTTCTCCCATGTGTAGGGGAAAGTGGAATCTGCTCCTTCCTACCCCAAGGCTATCTTCCTTCCCCTCAGTACCCTTTTCTGAACAGATGCAGAAACTGAGGCACAGAGCAGTCAAGCGTCTTGTCCAAGCTTGTACAACAACAGAACTGCAGTCAGTTTTTATAGACCTACTATGTCACAATGTTGCAGAGAGGAACTCATGAGATGGTTCGGGCTTATCCTTAAATAGCTTTTAACTCCCAGAGAGCACTAAAAATGTTTAAAATCAGTGAAAAATTATCGACAAGTAATGATATATAGGAAGGACTCAGCTCATCATTTCCACTCCCTGGGGTGTCTCTGAACACGTAGGTGTCCGTCCTGGTTCAGCACAGGAACCAGGAACCACTGTAGGTATTTCAGGCTGGAAGGGACTCAACACAGGGAACTGGGTGCTCCCAAAATTGCTGGGAAGGGTGGAGGAGTCAAAGCCAGGGGGCTGCCGCTTGGATTTCAGCTTCAAGATCACCCCTCTGCGGTTGTAATCAGAAGCTACAAATGCTGCTGTCAGATGACTCCCCATCCATGAAATTAAAGACTGGACCGCTGGAATGTGGAGTCCAGCCACAGCTCACTCCTGTCTGCAGAAAGCTGGTATCTGCCTCATTCTGCCCTCCCAAACATCTATGCATGCATCTAATTGGAGAACCTGAATGACATCCAGAACCTTAGCCCCAAGACATTCTGGGAATTGTAGTTTATAGACATGCTGCCCTAGTAATATGCAGGGTGAGCTGTGGAACACAGGAGGGAATGGGTGCTGATGGGTGCCAATAGATGCCAAAGAAAGATGATGGGCAGCACGTAGTTCACTTTGAGTGTCAGTGGAAGGAAAGGCCTCCAAGCTCTTTCTGCCCAAGTCAGGTGTCTGTACAATTCTTTTTCCTGCCCAGGGGAATGTTTTCCTTGTCGGAGTGACACATCTCTTTCCTGACAGATGGATTTCTCCTTGTACGTCATTAGCTACGTGGGCATGGTCATCTCCCTGGTGTGTCTTGCCTTGGCCATCGCCACTTTCCTGCTATGTCGTGCCATTCACAACCGCAACACCTACCTCCACCTGCACCTCTGCGTGTGCCTGTTCTTGGCCAAGATTCTCTTCCTCGCTGGTGTGGACAAGACTGACAACCAGGTCTCATCTCCCTCAGGCTAGGCCCCCAGCTAGCCCAGTCACCTCCATATCTGCCTCTGCTCATTCCTACTCAAGGTCCTACCTCAGGGCCTTTGCACATGCTGTGCCCTCTTCATAATACTCATCCTCCAGCACCTCACCTGGCTGACTCCTTCTTGTGATTGGTCTCAGCTTAAAATCATCTCCCTGATCATGTTATATATTGTGGTAGTCCCTCTTATTACTCTTTAAACCACTGGTTCTCACCTGGGATGATTCTGCCCCATTGGGGAACACTTAGCTGTCACCTCTGAGAGGGGGTGCTGCTGAAATCTAGTGGATAAAGGCCAGGGAATACTGTTAAACATCCTACAACATACAGAACAGCCCCCACGACAGAGAGTAATTTGGTAATAGTGTTACAACCGTCAGTACTGCTACAACTGAGAAACTTTCCTTGCCCGCTCCATTTTGCATTCCTTCCCAGCACCTATTTGAAACCATAATGATTATTCGTGGCTTTATATTGTATCTACTTTTCCCACTAGACTGCCTGTCTTGGGAGAGCAAGAACTTTGGCCAGTTTACTCCCAGAACTGTGCCAGAAACGCAGTAGGCTCTCTGGGTTTTCCCAAAAGGAGCACTGCCGACATTTAGGGTGGGTGAACATCCTCTTAGTGGAACTACCCCTTGCACAGCAGGATGTTCAGCTTCCTGGTCCCTTCGGGACCTGAATACCAGTACTGCACCCCACTCCCAGCGTTTAGCCAGTGCTGGGCAAGCTTCTGCAAAGACACAGAATATTTTCAGCATTACAGATCCTATGATTTCTGTTGCCACTTATCAACTCTGCTGTTTCAGCATGAAACAGCCATAGAGAACACATAGATGGGTGTGGCCGTGTGCCTATGAGACGTCATTTACAAAACTGGTTACTAGTCCAGTGCTGCAGTTTGCAGACCTCCTGCCCCATTTCTTCAATCATCTCCTAAAGTAGGGTGATCACTTACCCATTTTCACCCCTGGTTATCCCAGTTCTAGCACTGACAGTCACATGTCCTGGGAAAATGTAGTCCCAGGCAGACCAGGATGACTGGTCACCCTACCAAAGGGATGGGACTGCCTGTGATGAGGAATATCCCTGTAAATATTTGTGGAATGAATGAATGAATGAATGGGCTGTGTTTGGGGAATGACCACAGAAGTGGTCCATCTCCTGTCCTCTTCCTCAGAACTGGACCCTTGGGTGGGGGGAGTCCTGACTGCACCTGCCTCTCCCCTGCAGACGGGCTGCTCTGTCATCGCGGGCCTCCTGCACTACCTTTTCCTCGCCTGCTTCTTCTGGATGCTGGTGGAGGCTGTGATGCTCTTCCTCATGGTCAGGAACCTGAAGGTGGTGAATTACTTCAGCTCTCGCAATGTCAAGATGCTGTATCTCTGTGCCTTTGGCTATGGGCTCCCAGTGCTGGTGGTGGTTATCTCTGCCAGCGTGCAGCCCCAGGGCTACGGGACGCACACTCGGTAAGTGACATCTCCCTCTCTCCCTGAAGACCCTCTACCCCGGGGATGTTGCCAGGGGTCCTGATGATAATGATATGAAGCAGAAGAAGAGCAATAGCAATATTAGGAGTGTGGCTACCATTTATTGAGAATGGGCTCTACCCAGGGCACTAAGTGAACATTTCAGGAACACTGACCAGGAGAAAGGTCAGGAAGAGGATTTGCTGGGGTCCAAAGAAAACCGAAAGGCGGTCTGCCCTGTTGTGAGAGTTTTTATCCCTGTCTCAGCTCCCAGTTTTCCCCTCCATCAATGCACTTGGCAGGGCTGGAGTCATCAACTGTAAGGTCAGGAGTCTGAGACAAGCACCGATTCCTCCTGTTTCTCTCCGCAGCTGCTGGTTGAGTACAGAGACGGGGTTTATCTGGAGTTTCCTGGGGCCAGTGTGCACAATCATACTGGTAAGCAAAGTGCATGGTGCTGTGGGCTCTGGAGGAGGGAGCTGAACCAAGGGACGAGGAGGCACCAGTGGAAGTTGCATAGCTGAGGCCACTTATTCCTGTAAGCCAGGGGTGCCAAACTCATTTTCACCAGGGGCCACATCAGCCTCGCGGTTGCCTTCAAAGTTTGAAATAATTTTAGGACTGTATAAATGTAACTACTCCTTAACTGTTAAGGAGTTGAGGTTACATTTGGCCCTTTGAAGGCAACCACGAGGCTGATGTGGCCCCCAGTGAAAACGAGTTTGATGCCCTTGCTCTAAACATCCTCCCTTCTGATCCTTGATCCTTGAGATTCCCAAGTGGGGGTGTAGTATCTTTGACTCTGGTGGTTTCAGTGCAACCTGCTAGTCCCCTGGGAGGACCCACGCTCTCCTTGCCCTTTGTGCTTCGGTAAAATGGGTCTATTCCTCTCTCTGGAGGAAAGATGTTGAATGAGAGATAAAGTAGAATTTTTTCAACTTTATTGCAACATAATTGACAAATAAAAATTGTGTATGTTTAAGATGAATGACTTGATGTTTTCACATGTACACACTGTGAAATGATCACTGCTATCCAGCTAATTAACCTTTCTATCACTCCTCATGGTTACCGTTTTTCTTTTTTTTTTTTTTGAGTTTAATTTTTTTGAGGTGACACTGGTTAGTGGTATTATATAAACCTCAGGTGTGCATTGTTATAACATGACACCTGTGTGCTCACCACCCAAAGTGTGTTCTCTTCCTTACCGTATATTTGACCCCTTTACCCAATTCACCTCCTGCCTACCCCTTCTTACCCTCTGGGGACCACGATTCTATTGTCTGTGTCTATGAGTTCGTTTTTGTTTTGTTTTGCTGAGTTGTTACTTTTTTGTTTTATATTTCACCTGTGAATGAAATTCTAGGGGTGTTTGTCCTTTTCTGTGTGATTTATTTTACTAGCCCCCAAACCCCCAAGATCCACCTACACTGTTGGAAATGGCAGATAAGAACATTTAAGATCTACCCTTTCAGCAACTTTTAAGAATACAATGCAATATTGTTAACTATAGTCGCCATCCAATAGATTAAATCTGGGGAACTCCTCACCTTGCGTAAGTGAAGCTTTGCGCTTTAGACCGAGGTCTCCCCGTTTCCCACCCCCACCCCTGACAAGTGCCATCTACCCCCTGTGGACCCCGAGGGAGGCTGAGCGCCCCCATCTCTTGCCCCCTCCACCCTGACCCAACTCTGCAACATGACGCTTCTCCTCACTGACTGCCGCTCTCAGTGGCTTGTTTCCTTGTGTCGCTTTTATGTGGTAATTGTGAGCTCATATTTGACCAAGTTAATCTTGAGAATTCACTTTTTAAAAGATTTAATTTTTTTTACTTTTAGAGAGAGGGGAAGGGAGGGAGAGAAACATCAATGTGAGAGAGAGACATGGAGCAGTTGCCCCTCATGTGAGCCCCAACCCGGGACTGAGCCTGCAGCCCAGGCACGTGCCCTGACCAGAGTCAACCCCACAACCTTTCACTACGCAGGACGACACCCAACCACCTGAGCCACACCGGTCAGGGTGGGACCTGCAATTCTTGCAGTTGTATTCCTCCAGAGGTTTTTTCTCTGACCTCTGGCAGATTTTTCAGGGCCATGCATTAGTTTTCTAGAGTCACCAGAACAAAATATCTAAGTGGGTCACTTAGAACAACAGAATTTTATTGTCTCAGTCCTGGAGGCTGGACTTCTGGAATCAAGGGGTTGGCAGGGCCAAGCTCCCTCTGAAAGCCTTGGGGGAAGGATCTGGTCCAGCCTCCTCTCCAGCCGCTGGTAGCCTCAGGCTTTCCTTGGCTTGTAGGTGCCTGTCTGTCTGCTCCCTGTGTCCTCTCATGGTCATCCCTGCCCATGTCTGGCTCTGTGTCCTGATCTCCCCTCTATAAGGACACCAATCATATTGGATTAGGGCCCACCCTAATGTCCGCATTTTAATGGGATCACCTCTGTAAAGACCATATCTCCAAATAAGATTGCACCCTGAGGTCCTGGGGGTGAGGACTTCAATATATCTTTGGGGGGGTGGGCACAGGTCAAACCATAACATCACAACAGAGCATCAGTCTTGATTCTGACTTCCCAGATGCATCCAGTGGAAATAAAGAAAGATCACTCAAATGGAACAAGCAAAGGCTATTTATCTAGAGATTGCCATAGTAAGGGAGTCAGCCACCCTCCCTGCACTTGTTAGTTTTGAGAGCAGGCTGAGGAGGGAAAGCTTTGTGGAGGGAAAAAGGCAAACTTCACGTGTGCCCCACCAGAGGCTGTAGGCATGGGGGTCCTCTATGTGGGTTGCTGAAAGCAGGGCGCCTGTATGGTTGGCTGTGGGCACGTACTGGCTTTTTCCTCTTGGTCTTAGATTGGAGTCAGGGGCAGAAATTAAGGAAGCTGTCAGTTATTAATCAGGTCCTGGTCATTTTGGGTCAGTTGCTACAGGAGTTATTTTTGGGCTTCCTGAAGTGGTCACCAAAGATGTCAGTCAGAGTTTCATTTTTAAAGTTGGTTTGGCCATTTCTGTTTTGCCAGTCAAATTTATTTTAGACTATGATAAAAACTAAAAAGCATTTATTTGAGAAATCGGAGCTGTAGCCCTGGAGACACAGATTATTCAGGTATCGACCTAAACTGTGCTCCAGGGAAGAACAAAGGCAGATTCTGTAAAGACAAAACCCCCAAAGTGGCATTCTTTCCAGGAGTGGTCAGTGTCAATTAAAAAAAAAACAAACAAAACCAACAACAGCCCTGGTTGGCGTAGCTCAGTGGATTGAGCACAGGTTGCGAACCAAAGGGTCGCTGGTTTGATTCCCAGTCAGGACACATGCCTGGGTTTCAGGCCAGGTCCCTAGTGGGAGCCTTGTGAGATGCAACCACACACTGATGTGTGGTTTCTCTCCCTCTCTTTTTCCCTCCCTTCCCTTCTCTCTAAAAATAAATAAAATCATAAATAAATAAATAAATTCTTCTAAAAAAAAAAACAACCCAGGATGGGAGGAGTGGTGAAAACTACAAGGAGAAGGGCAAGTCCCTATGTTGTTCCAGGATGTTTATGACTCAGCCTGAGCTGAGCTTAGCAGCAGGTCAGCAACATAATAGCAGCTGAGATGGAGGCACAAGTGGAACTAGGCCCCACTTGCCTGAGAGTCTCCCCTCCTCTATTTGTAAGTTTCTCTCTTAGCAATGCTGGTTCCATTTAACTTTTTCTCTAGGCAGTTTTTGTATCCAACCCCTAAATCCGGTCTGTTTGACTTTGTAGATCAATTCCACACTGCTGACTTGGACCCTGCACATCCTGAGGCAGAAGCTTTCCAGTGTCAATGCCGAAGTCTCCACTCTCAAAGACACCAGGTGCTGTCCCCTCTTCCTTTTCTCTCCTCTTCCAGTCACCCTTCCTTCTTTCCTCAGGTCACCACCTGGTCTTTGCCTGGTCCTCTACCCAAAACAGAACACGGCACAGTGTTTATATTTGGAGACTCAAACCCCAGCTCTGCCACTTACAAGCTCTGTGACCTTAGGCAAGTTATGGAACCTCTCTGAAACTCAGTTTCCCTCCTCCTCTGTGGAACGGGGGTATGATACTGCACGCTTTATGGAGCTTATGAACCATTTAGCACAGTTATTAGGAAGAGTGTTTTATATATTGAACCTATTATTACATTTACTAATTCTGTGCATACTTATATGCGTATTTACAAAAACAATATGAATTTTTATTACCATTTTTCTCTAACATGTCATGAGTAATTTTAAATTTAATTAGAAATTCATGAACAATCTTTTTTGCATAGTATTTTAGTATAAGGACACAGCATAGCTTATTTAAATCATCCCTCATTCATGAACATTTAAATGATTTTTCTACTATAAACAATACTGTCTTGAATATTATTTTAAATCTTTTTTCCACACCTGGGGTCATTTAGTCATAGCAGTAGGCATGGAAGTGCTGGAATCAAAGGGTAGATTCGATTGTAACACTTTTTACTGTATATTGCAAATGGTTTTTCAGAAAATCTGTCTCCATTTATCGGAGTGCTTGTTTACCTGCAGTTTTGCCAGCACTGGAATTTATAATTTTTTATTTGTTGTTTTTGTGGATGTAATGGGTGAAATATATCCTCATTACTTTAGTTTTATATATATGATTTTATCCCACACATGTGAGACTTTCTCATGTTCTTATAGAAAATATAAATCTATGGGCCAATGAATATCTGAGACTGTAAAACAATTTAAAGGTTTATAGCAGTCTTGCCCTGGCTGGTGTGGCTCAGTGCATTGAGTGCCTGCCTATGAACCAAAGAGTTGTCCGTTCAATTCCCAGTCAGGGCACATGTCTGTGTTGTGGGCCAGGTCCCCAGTAGGGGGCGCTCAAGAGGCAACCACACATTGATGTTTCTCTTCCTCCCTCTCTTCCCCTTCCTCTAAAAAATAAATATAAATTAAATGTTTAAAAGAAAGTTTATAGGAGTCTTAAAAAGACTTGAGTCTGAGAGATGCATTAAGGGGAATGAATACCTGCAGTGTGCTCTGGAGAGAACAGAGAAAGGCAGGGTTTGTGAAGCAGAAACTCCAAAGTGTAATTCTTTTTTAAAAATCTATTTTTATTGTTTTTCAGGTACAGTTGTCTCCATTTTCCCCTACCCCTTTCCTCCCCCGTGTCACCCACCCCCACCCTTAATCCCACCTCCCTCTGGCTTTGTTTATGGGGTCCATGGGTCATTTACACATGTTCCTTGATGACCCTTCCCCTTCTTTCCCCATTATTCCCCGCCCCCCTCCCCTGGTTACCATTAGCCTGTTCTTTATTTCAATGTCTGTTTATATTTTATTTGCTTGTTTGTTTTGGGGATCAGGTTCTGCTTATAGGTGAGATCATATGGTATTTGTCTTTCACCACCTGGCTTATTTTTGTAAATGAAGGACTGCTGGCTAGGTTACCAGGATTTGGCGAGTTTCAGTATGAAGCCTCGAGGGGTGACAACTACAAGGAGGAGGGCAAGTCCCTACGTTGTGCCAGGATGTTCGTGGCTCGCTCGGGCTGAGTGGAGCAGCAGGCCGGCCGCTGAACAGCAGCTCTGAGACCGAGGCCCCACTTCCCTGAGAGCCTCCCAACTCTATTTGGAGTGAATCTCTCAGCAGTGCTTGTTCCATTTAACTTTTCCGTTACCAGTTTGTGTTCCCTAACTTCATCACTCAGCTCATTTTTATTCTAAGAACTTACTGAAACCAGACACGGTAGGTTTTATTGTCAGCAACCTGCTGATCTCCTTTGCTCATTTTCCTGTCATTTTCCAGTTTTCCATCCATCTTACATTTTTCTCCTGAAAATTATTTTTAAAAAGTTAATGTACAGAGCTCAAAGTTAATATTGCAATGGTAGGAAAAATTAAGCAGTGTGAAGTATGCCAACCGACTGCCAACAGCAAGAGAAGTCCTCCTTTATTCGGTGTGAAACAGCTCAAAGGTCATGGTGACACAGCACGGCCCTGGGGCCGGGCCCTTCCCTGGCTGACCCGCTCTGCGCTCTGGCTCTGCTACCCTCTGCTCCCGTGAGATGGCTGCTGTGTTCCAGTGCAGTCAGGGAGACACTGTGTTCAGGCTTTGATGGAAAGGAAAAAAGTGTGCTGTCTGAGCCATAGGGGAGCAGATTTAATGGACAGAAATCCCTGCCCCTGGTCTCTGATTGGTCCATCTCATGCAAAGGAGGACTCCAAATCTCAGTTTGATTGCTCCAAAAGGCACATTCCAGACTGGTCAGAATAGAGCCACTTTGGCCAGAGTTGTGCAGCCCTGACCAGATGGGGCAAACTGAGGTCCTGTTGGCTGAAATAGGATTGCAGAAACTCCTTCATCGGGGTGGGTGAGACGGCAGGAGCACCGTGGAGGTAGGTGGGTTCAGTGCAGAGCCAGGCAGTACAGTGCGTCTTCTGCACATTTTGTGTGAGGAACCCCCCCCCCCCCCCCCCCGCGTTCAGCAATGGCTGCTAGGCTCTGTTTTTTAAAATTTGAGCCCAGTTAGCCACCAGGAGCCCTTCTTAGTAGGTATCTTTTTTTTCTCAGAGTTTACAAAGGGAATACAGGAAAACAATTCCCTCTCCTGACACTCTAGGTCCCCAGATCACGCCCACCTTCAGCAGCCATTATCATTCGAATTGAGCTTCCTTACAGAATATTCTACACTTGCACATCTTCCCCCTTTCACATAAATGATAAGACACTCTACTCATTTGTTCAGCAGTTTTTTTTTCACATAATATGTAGCTTATTTCATATAATACTTGAGGGTACAACTAACAAAAACACTTATTTCGTGACACACGTTGTTCTGCCGTCTCTCCGACCCGGAGAGCAAGCAGTGCCGCTGAGCAGGGGGTGCGCTGTTCTCTCCGTGTCAGTTAGAGGGGCCTGAGCAGGCGACGGACGGACGCAGTCAGAATTCCTCCCAGGCAGTCAGACCCAGAGCCCAGACCCTTTCTTATTCTTTAGTCTGTTGTCACTCTCATCTCATTTAAGAAATGATTCTATAATCTGCTTCCTGTCTCTATGGATGTGCCCATTCTGGACATGTCACAGAAATGGAATCACACACCGTGTGGCCTTTTGTGTCTGGCGTCTCTCACTGAGCACCACGTGTTCAAGGCCCGTCCATGTGGTAGCAGTGGTCAGCACTTCACTCCTTTTCATGGCTGAGTAGTATTCCGGTGCTTAGAGGGACCACAGTGTGTGATCCATTCGTCATTTGAAGGCCATCTGGGTTGTTTCTGGTTGGGGGGAGGGGAATGGAGAATGACTGCTTAATAGGTATGGCTGTCTCTTTGGGGTGATAAAATGTCTTGGAATTGGGTAGTTGTGACTTTTGTACAACATTGTGAATGTGCTGAATACCACTGAATCACACACTCTTTGGTAAAAATGGTGAATTTCATGTAATGTGAGTTTTACCTCAATAAAAAGGGCTTTATAGTTTTCATATATGGCTTCACCATTGATTTAACATGTCCCAAGTTCATGGTCATGTGGGCCTTTCTTGCTGCAGATACATGGCACTAAATACCTACATTCACACATCTCCATGCTCATGTGTACCTGTAAATACTTCACATTTCAAATGCCTCTTGGATTCGATTTTCCTGCTTCTGTGTTGGAGACTGTCCCACATTTATTCCCACCCTGTTGGCTGGTCACAGTGGCAGCCACAGACCATTCCTGGGGGCCTGGCCCACAAGGACCACGGCCGCCTCCCAGCCTCTTATCCTCTGCAAATCTTCTCTCCCAGGTTGCTGACATTCAAGGCCTTTGCCCAGCTCTTCATCTTGGGGTGCTCCTGGGTGCTGGGCATCTTCCAGATAGGACCCGTGGCCAGTGTCATGGCCTACCTGTTCACCATCATCAATAGCTTACAGGGAGCCTTCATCTTTCTCATTCACTGTCTGCTCAACCGCCAGGTATGTAGCTGCTGTCCTCCCTGTCGCTTCCTCCCCTTCCTTCCAGGGGCCAAGTCTGTGCAGCACACTTCGCACCCGGGAGCGACTCATTGCCCACTGTCTGTCTCCAACTCCAGGTCCGGGAGGAATACAGGAGGTGGATCACGGGGAAGGCCAAGCCCAGCTCCCAGTCCCAGACCTCAGGGATCTTGCTGTCATCCATGCCCTCTGCCTCCAGAACGGTGAGGGCCTGCGTGTTTGATGCAGGTCTGGCTGAATGGAGCACCTGCTTCTCAGCAATATTAGACACCGCTGTGCGTTAGCACCTACTGGGAGCTAAGTGTACTGGTATTAGCTCACTGACAGTGTGGGGTTCGGGAGCCAGGCTGCCTGGGTTGACATCCCAACTCTGTCCCTTAGTAGCTATGTAACCTGAAAAAGATAAAATCATGACTCATACAGATATAAAATGAGCATATATTAAGGATCTTAATTCTACTTATTAATCAGTGAGGGAATGAGACATTATAACTGGCCCAAAAGGCACAAAAGAGTAAGTACGGGTGTATATATGTATTATGTAACAATATATTATGTATACTTTATACACATTGTATATAGTACATGTGTAGTATGTATTGCATTATACACATTATATGTACATTCTATAATATGCTTTATGTATATGTCATATACATTGTATATATTACACACACACATATGTCTCTTTTTTTGCATTCTATTTTGAGCCAGTTATAATATCTGCCTGGTTACCTTACTGATAATTATACATAATATATAATATGCCACATAATTATATATAATAGGACTATACATATCTTTATAAATATACATAAATAATATTTACACATATTATACATGTATGAATTATAATATGTATATAATTTCATAACTATTTAAATGAATGTGCAGATGGAGGTAAATTTGATTCTCCCACAGAATTGTTTTGCATTGCTCTCAGTTATTTAAAATTCAGAGTTGTGAAATAGCTCCCACATAGATGGGGCCCTCTGACAATGCATATTTTCCATTGAAGCACATGGTTTTGTCTGTGCTTCAGTTTTGTCTGTGTGCTCACCCAGTCTTATGGCTATGAGCACCATCCATTGGCAATGACCCCCACATTTTAAATAATGTGCAGTCTAGCCCTCTCTCCTTAATTCTATACTCATGTAGCACCCACCTACCAATGCCCCCACTTGGATGTCTAACAGTGGTCGGAAATGTACCATATTCCAAACCGAGCATCTGATCCTCCCACCTCCCGTTTGCAAGGAGAGTCCTCCACCCTGTGTGGTGCAGCACGAAGCTGTGGCGTTAGCCTTGGCTCTGCTTTACTTCTCACCCTCCACCCCCGGCCCATCAGCAAGTCCTGTGGACTCGTCCTCAGAATGCGTACAGAATCTGACACCTTTTCCTTCACTGTTTCTATTCCGGTCCAAGTTCTCTCGTCTCTAACCGGGATTATGGAAATAACCTCAAAATGGGTTTTTCTACTTCTCCTGCCACCTTTTCCTTGCCCCAGCTTTGGTATGTTCTCCCTGCAGCAGCCAGAGGGCACTCATGAACACCTGAGTCAGGTCACCTCCCTTCTCTGCCTACAACACTCCATGGCTCCCACCTTACTCAGAGTAAAAGCCAGAGTCCTCCTGATGGCCCACACAGCCCTTTCTAATCTGACTCTTTTTCTCCCTGACCTGGTCTTCAATTAATCTACCCCTCACGTCACTCTGTCCCACCCGTACTGGCCTGCTCTGTATTCTTCAAACATGCCAGGCTCACTTCTTCCTTAGGGGCTTTGAAGTGGAAACTCACTGTCTTAAATGTTTTTGTCCTGGTGCCCACACGGCCAGTTCCACCACTTCCCTCACGTCCTTCAAACCTTCGTTTCACTAATCGCTATCAGGGGAGTTCCTCTGACAGTCGTTTTATCCTGCCTCCTCTTCAACCCTGGTGTTCATGTGTCCCCTGTCCCTTTGTCCTTTCTTTTCATAGCACTTCCTGCTTTCCAACATACTATAGCTTCTTTATTTATTTTATTACTCATGGTCTTTCACCTCCCTATTAGAATGTCTTATGTTTTCATTGATATATTACAAGGAAGTAAGATCCAGTGGTTTAGTTAAATAGGTAATTACTTTTCTTACAAGGATAGAAGCCCAGAGTTAGGGGTTGCTGATATAGGTTCTATTGCTCAGTAGTATTATAGAGGGTCTAGGCTCTCCCTAATTTGCCATTTCACTAGCAGCATGTTGGCTTTCCATCATACTATTTTCATGGTTCCAACATGACTGCTATAGCTCCAGCCATCACGACCATGTTCAAGGTAGGAAGAAGACAGAGCAGAAGTGCCAGGCTCTCCTTTCAATCCTTTCCCTTTAAGAGGAAACAAAAGCTTTTCTAGAAGCCCCTCAGCGGGTTTGTCTTTCACCTAAATGGTCAGAACTGCATCATGTGACCACTCATGGTTATAAAGGAATTTGACAAATTGTGTATTTGGCTTTCTAGCTTCTCAGATGGGAGCTATCATTGATGAAGAGTTTGAGAGTGGCTCTAGAGTTTGCCAATGATGCCTGCCATGCCAGGAATAACCACTGTTAACATTGACTATCTTCTTAGTCTTTGTTGCCCTATTTATCTCTTTGTATTTAGAAGACCCATCCCCCTTATAGATATGACCCCTGAAATTATATCTGTACTAATCCTGCTGCTGATTGTGATTTCTCTCTCCATAGGATTAAAGCCATTTCTTGCTTTTCAAATACATTATGGAGCAACATTCGAGGCAAGCAAGTGCCTGCAGGAGCCTATCCTGAAATCTCCTCTTCCTGGCTTAATGCAGAAATACAGGATCCTCCAGCCCCAGAGAACTCGGGGCAATTTGAAGCATGGAGGGCAGGGCAATTTCCCCATGGTTTTGAGAAGCAAGATTTCAGTTACAGATAACAATTTCATTTTCTGTGTTCTGCAGCTCTCACCTTCCAGAGTTTTGTGGAAATAACAGATCTTGGTGCCATGGTGTGAGCAAGGTGGTCTGGTTACCATTTTGCTGCTTCTTATGTTTGTGGGTGTGTGTCTCTAAGCATGCCTCTCCCACACTTACCACATGCCTGACAGAGAACAACTCTTAGTGAATGATTTGTTGTCCTACTGGCTTACCCTGTGACAAAGACTCTCCCTGTTTCTAAAGAAATGGTCATAAAACTGTAATGACAGCCCCAGGAGACAAATAAAGTGCATGGACACACAGGCGACTTGGGCATGAATACCTGAGAGTTAGCTGGGTAAGGAGGAGTGGCTGATGGAGCAGAACTCTTGCAGTTAGTGAAGAGTTGAAGCATTTGATGACGACGGCCTTTGGAGAGTGTTTTGGCTCCTGGGACCTTTCAGGGAACCATCATTTCCCTTCCTTCCAGGAACTTCTTAATGCCTTGGCCAGGATTCATCCTGCTCACAGAGTTGTTGCTCACCCACCTTGCTCTTCGTCCCCCACAAAACCTTGAGTGCCAGGGAGAGAAGGAGATGAAAATTTAAAATGCAAAAATCCTCCCTTCAACAGCCTCTCTGGCTCCTCCCTACGCAAAGTGTGGTCCATAGATTAGTGTCACCTCCTTGGAAAAGCAAGCTCTCCGGCCCCACTCTGGTTAGCAGAACCAGAACTTGCATTTTAACAGCATCCCCAGGGACTTTGTGTGGTGCCCCTGAGTGAATGTTCTAGAATATGCTAGAATAGCCCATTTGCTGGTAGCCAGATGGAAACATCTTGAGTTTCCCTGTGTGTCTAAGGTAATTAAATAAAGCTGAGACCTCACAATAGAGAGTTTTCTTTCTACAACACCAAGCTGCACTGGGTGAGTTCCTTCACCTGGATGGTCTCACGTGCCTCCACTGGGGGGAGAAGGGACTCAGGATGAACACTGCATGGTTCTTAAGTTTCATAAACATGAGATGAAATGACTTTGCCCTTTTATAATTCAAATAATTTATGGTATCCAAAAATACAGATCCATTCTCTGAAGTGATATGATTGACAACCTACAAGTGTGCCCTTTCCCCGAACATCAAAATAGTTGAAAAAATTGAAAAACTTTAAAGTAAAAATATTAGAACCTAAAACATTATTCTACATTTAAAATTTTGATTAATCTCCAAACCAGACTTCATTAAAATATGACTTCTTTTGGTTTGAAAGGAAGCAGAATCATCAATATTTTCAGAATCAAGTTCTAGAAAAAAATTAATTATTCAAAATATATTTAAAAAGTGATGGTAAGTTCATTTTGACCCAGCGTAGGACAGATCTTGGACTCGAATATTTTATTTATCATGGATTTTCTTCTGTTGATCTCCACTTTTAAAATGTGGCGTTGACACCAGCCAGCAAAGCAGGCAGCTCTGGCAGCTGGAAAGGACCAGGGAACAGACTTTCCCCTGGAGCCTCCAGGAGGAACAAAGCCCGCACCACACCTTTATTTTACCCAGAGACCCGTCTTAGACTTCTGGTATCCATAACTGTAATAAACATGGTTGAAGCCAAAAGTAAAATAAAATAAAATGCTGTGTTGACAGAGCATTTATGCAAATTACTTTGGTTTTGGTTCCCCCTTAGATTCTGTGTCTCAGGCCAGAGCTTCCCTCCCTTCACCCTAGTGCTGGTTCTCTTCATGACCTTGTGGGGGAAGATTACAGCGTGTTTTTGGGGAAATGGGACAACCTCCTTGGCACTCCTTGCTGACAAACATTTAGTTATAGGAATAACCATAGTCACATAGGTCTGTCGGTTCGGGGAAAGTCGTGATGTGACAGTGCTGGGTGTCTCAGCCCACGTAGGAAGTGTCCCGAGGGTCGCCTGCAGCAGGCATGCCTGTGTGATTTTCAGATCTCTATGTCTCCCACTTGTCACATTGAGAACAGCTTCCCAGCTCATTTTCAACTGCTTCAGACCTTCATTTTATTCCCTGATGGTTGCAGGGTGATCTCTGGTCCGCGCATGTCGTAGTGTGTTTTTGAGTTTGCATCGTTTCCCACTTTTCAGTACTGTAGACAAAATATTGTAACAAACATCTTTGAGATACATTTTATTAAACATTCTATTTAAATGCTTCTGAAATTACCTAATAGTTACCAGTGGGAGGAAGCTTACATGTCTTAGTATCTGCTTAAAAAGACATAATTGCACAAAAGCTGTCAAACTGTCAGAAAAGTAAGCCATTAGGAATATAGTAATTTGGAGAGAACCTGAGGTCTGTCTACTCATAGAAAAGCTTTGCATTGTGGGTTCTCAATGTCTGGCTGCCTCCTTGTCTTAACGTTTCTGTTCCATGGTACCTAAAGTCATCAGTCCTTCACGGTAATACTCGGCACAGCAGACTGTATTCAGAAGTCTCTGTGCTTTGTCCCCGGCTCTGCCCTGAGTTCTGCGACTGATGTGTCCTGCATGCCCAGGACCTAGCAGGAGACCGGCTTCACCGACTGACTCCATGATATTTGTTAAGTGGCTGTGTCAAATAAAGAAAGTCAGAAGAGGAAGCTGCTCCCGGCGTTCTAACCCCTGAAGGACGAGTCTTGGCTTTACAAATGCAGTCGTTGTCACTTGGTGACAGGGATGCTTCCTGAGAAGTGTGTCATGGGGCGGTTTTGTCATGCGAACACCCCCACAAACCTGGGTGCCCTGTGCCCACCCTGTCCCTGAGGTGTGTAGCTGACCCCCACATCGATCCTATGCAGCACATGGCTGTTCTGGCTTGCCTCTGCAGAGTCACCCCAATACCCTTTTGTTTAAGTTTCACTGACAACACTATAGTAACTTCATCACAAATGGGATTTCTGAAGTGGCACGAGGCTTTTCAGGTCAGGTTCCCTGAAAGCAGAGCTGAGACGAGGATTTCGGTGCTCGTGACTGACTGAAGTGCTGCTTCACGGAGGGAGAGTGATGACACAGAGCGTGGGGTCGGAGGAGCACCTGGGTGCTTCCTGACCCCACGGTCCCACGGTGGGCTCAGAAGCATGAAGTGTACCTCAGCACCAGTCCCATGCTCCGGCGAGGGGACTGACCTTTTTAATTCTCCTGTCAGTCAGTTATTGGCTGTGCGGTGCCCTCATGGTTGGGAGGTGTTAACCTCCTGTTCAGCTGAGCAGTTTTCTGGAGAAGGGACCACTGGCCCCAGTAGGCAATAGGGAAGGACATCAATAATACCGACTGCTTTGTCCCATCTCCATAACCATCAAGTATGAAAAAAGTCTTATTAATCACTTAGATACTTGTTTGAAGCTCATTGTAAAGGCATTTTGAACTGCATTTAGAAAGTGTTTCCAATGATGCTGCAAACTTCTCAAGACATTCGGGTGAAGCCTTGCTCTTTAAAACACCTGAGAGCTTGTTTACCACTTGGCTTTATTGAACCTAGAATGCAGTGGCTTTTATTTTTGCAAGTATACCTTTAATAAAGTACTTTCATCTTTTAAAAAGTGTAAAGAACATCTGGAGACATTTCTCGCACTGCTCCTGGGAAGAGCATGCTTCTGTTTTGGAGTTCTGGGGTGTACCACACCGAGGGGTGCTTGCCGTTTCCCCCGAATATGACATCGGTTCATAGTCAACATTTGCTGTGTCCCACTTCTGTGACTTGACTTCATGAGTGGCACCCAATATTGATAAATTTGCCCACTGTACGTGCTGTTTGAAACTCTGAAGCTGCATCTGTCAGTGCTACAAATAGGGGTTGGCGCAGTTTGCATAGTGAGCTTTTTGACCTCAGGATCTTGGATTGTATTTCTTCTTCTTCCCTATTTCTCAGAAAATCCCACTACAGGAGTTTGTGGGTGTTGCTGAGGTAGCTTCTGGGTTCTGCTCAGGATGTCTCTCTGCCACTTTTCCCTACTTCCTTATCCAAGTCCCTCACATGCCTCCCCCAGATATCTGCCCAGATCAGCACAGTGATCTCTATCCATGGCCAGGTCACGTCCACCGAAGGCTGGTACTGGGCCATCATTCAGGTGACAGAAAGTCCATAACTATGGACTTTCTTGGCCTCTGGGGATCCTGACCTGCGCTTTAAGCAACAGGTTGGCTCCCCAGCATGGGGCTTGTCTCCCGGGCGCAGGGCTGTTTAACTTGGGCACAGAGTCTTCTCTGACTCAAAAACACCACAGCCCCATCTCTCATCCTATCTGTTCATTTCAGGGCCCTCCAAGTAGCCACTTAGGTCTGCTGGATGGACTGTCCATCCTCCTGTGTTCTCTGTCTTTTCCTTCCAGTAAGGATCTTCTCTGCACCTCCATGCGTATTAACTCACACAAGTTTTTGAGGTGTTACAAGGGTATATCCCAGTCATTGGCCAGAAGAGTCCCATTCTATGTCTGGTCCAGCCCAGTCACCCTGCGTCATGTACACAGGAAAGCGCAGGAGGCTTGGGGATGTTAAGAAACAAGAAATTGGCACAAAGTCCTTTATTCGTCCTACGAATGTTAAGTATCCACTCTCTAGGAAGTGGCTATATTAGGCAAGATGTACATTGCATTTCTGTCATGAAACTTATTCTGATGATGGGGCAGACCCAATACACAAGTGAATGAATATCTAAGTGGGCAGGCTGTCTTCTGTGGACCCCTCCAAATCCATGCAGGTGCCTGCCTAGGATGCTGCCATCTCTGAGTATAACTATGGACTTTCTTGGCCTCTGGTTTCCAGAGGTATGGGCCAATGGGAAACACCAACAGGATATCAGAAAGAGGAAAGAGAGTGAGGTTAGTGTATTTGTTCTCTTAGCTCTTTCCTTGAGGGTCCCCATGGGCGTTCCTTGTCTGTTGCTTCAATGATGGCCTCAGCTCCATGATCTGGTGCTCCAAGTCTTGACAATGACAATTTCTTACTCCTTGTCCATTCCCATGTTTTCTCAATAGCATTGCATGTAATTCCTAAACATCTTCAGCCTACCCTGTGATTTTATTTCTGCACAACATGAAAAGAAAATTTAGAAAGCTTCAGTTATGAAGTTTTGGGGATTAATACATATTTTTTTGCATGAATTACAACTTGACTGTTGTGATAACACATGATTGCCACAGAGACAAAACAAAAGCCAACATTGTCTGGGTTTTATGGAAAATAATGTCTATCAGAGTCCATGGGTAAAGAGTAGGATTTTGCCCAAATCCAAACGGGTTGACCAGGTTTCCTGTTTAAACCTGTATGGGAGCAATAATTTATTTATTATTTCTTTATTTTTTATTAAGAGAGAGTCACTAACATAAAATTCATTTTAACCATGTTAAAATGTACAATCCAGTGGCTTTTAGGATAGTCAAAATATGCAGCTTTGTGGAGCCATATTTTATTTATTTTACATTAAATTTACTGAGGGAACATCGGTTAATAACATTGTGTAATTCTCAGTGTACTGGATTGTAATTCGACACCTGTGCACTGTATTTCCTGCTTCCTCCCGGACGTCCAGTCTCTTTCCACCACTGTGTATTCGACCTCTTCCCCACTTCACCCTCCCCCCGCCCTCTTTCCCGGCTGGTGACCACCATTATTGTCTGTCCCTAGGAGTTTGCTTTTGCTTGTTTTGTTCGCTACTTTTTATTTTACATTCCACGTATGAGTGAAATCATACAGTTCTCGTCCTTACCCATCTAACCTTTCACTTAGCATGGTACTCACAAGGTCCATCCATGCTGTGGCAAATGGCAGTATTTAGTCTTTTTATGGCTGAGTAGTATTCCACCGTATACATGTATCGCATCTCCTTCATCCGTTTATCGGACAGTGGACACTTAGATTGCTTCTGTGTCTTGCTTCCATGAACAACTGAGCGATGTGGAAGTTCCATTCTTACATTCTTAGCTTTCTGAGAAATTTCCATACTGTTTCTCAGAGTGGCTGCACTAATTTACATTCAGTGGGTTATGTCTTAAACCACCTCAGATACCCAGTACTCTTGGCTGGAAAGTTCTGTTTTAAACAAAAGTGACTGTGTTTCTTAGGACAAATTTCACTCGATTTCCCTCGAGCCAGCAGGTGAGAAAGAACATTGTTCATTCCGAGCTGCTCCCCAGGACTTTCGGCATCAAGTCCAGGTCGCCATTCTGATAGGACGCAAGCCCTGGGCTCTGTGGATGCTTGCGCCGACAGGATGCAACACCTCTGCCACGTTTTCAGCCACCCCTCCTGTGAAATACCACCGTTTCAAGGCACGGGAAGTTAGTTTGCTGAGAAACAATGATTAAATGACTGTCAAAGAAGGAAGTGGCATCGACGTTTTGTGTTGAGTTCCACAGTTTGGTGAAGGATGATTTGTTTTCGTTGAAATGTGGCTTCCTCTTTTTTACAGCTAATAAAAAAGGGTTGGCTTCTGGTTAGAATGAATAGAGCTGGTTATAATGCTAGGCTGTATATTAGTTGTTGACTTTGCAAGAAGCAGCTGGTCCAGAAAAGTGGGTTAAATGAAGATACTATTTATATAGGTGTGGGCAGATAAAACCCAATTCCAATGTGTGTGTGTGGGGGAGGGGCGCGCTGGTTTTATACCAGCAAGCAATTCTCCAACACCAGCTAGGTGTCCTATAATTCAATTAAGTTCTGACACCATCTACCTGGAGACAATGTCAGATCCCACATTTTAAGAGCTCAGTCCCACAAGACTGTCCCCTGTCCCCCACTCCAGATGCCAATCCCAAGTCCAGGTTGTCACGTGAACTGACATACTGGCTGTGGACTGGAGGTTCCCAGGACTCCCCCCTTGAGTTCTATTGATTTGCTAGAGTGGCCCACAAAACTCAGAGAAACACGTTATTTATTAGATCACCAGTTTATTAAGAACGGATGTCACCAGGAACCGCCAGACGGAAAGGGTGTGGAACTCCCATGTCGTCTGCAGGCACCGCTCTTCCCCAGTCTCCATGTGTTCAGGACCCAGAAGCTTTCCGAACCCTGTCCCGTTGGGTGTTTCCTATGGAGGCAACATTACAGACTTGACTGGTTAAATCATTGGACATTGATGATTGCTTCAACCCCTAGTCCCTGCCCCTCTGGGGAAATGGTTGGTTCCACTGGCGACCAGCACGCATCCTCTGGGGCTTTCCAAAAGTCACCTCATTAATGTAAACTCAGTTGTGGTGGAAAGGGACCAACCGTTCTAATGAAAGGTGCTCCCATCACTCTTATTGCTCAGGAAATTCCAAGGACTTTAGGAGCTCTGTGCCAGGAACAGATTAAGACCCATGATATATTTCTTATTATAAATCACAATCTCACAGCAGGGCTGAGGATGGTGGGTACCCTGCAAGTAGCAGTGGTGGGTGGGAAAGCTCTGATCAATTGTTGGCTTAAAGGGGCAGGAGAGGGAGCAGTTATAGAAACCTGGAAAGGCCTTAGCCTGTGACAGATGAATCTGATCACCTGGGAAAATAAATATCCCCATCGCAGGAGGGTCCTGATGGTGCAGCACCTGCAGGGCAACCTCCCAGTGCACAGAGCAGGGTAGAGGAGAGTGGACAGCAGTTTCTTTGACACCTGCCCAAAGTGAGTTGTTACATGCTTGATGCAGTTTGAGAGGGGGCCACACCTCTCTTCCTCAAACTGTGCATCTTCTCCCTGGTCTGTGAACCCACTGGAACCCCGTGATGGTGACAGCCTGCTGCTCCACCGAGGGAAGGTGAGACAGGTAAGTAGGAATAAAAGAGGAAGATCATCAAGAGATTCTCTTGTCTGATGGCTTCTAATTTGGTTAGTTTTTATTTGTTCGTTGGCTCATGGGCCACTCCACTACTTGTATGTATCCCTCTTTGTGGCTTTGCATTAAAAATCTCCAAGAGAGACCTAATCTGGATGGATTGGTCAGTCAACATCCATGAGAGAACAGCTCTAAGGTAGATGTCTCTGCTGGGCCACCTCCTGGGTCCAATCGGCTGTGATTGGGAGTTGAAGTCATGTGGTACCATGCCTACAACATGTGTGTGAAGTTCTTCCAGCCTACTTTGTCAACTGAAAAATCATATCGACTAGGTGTTTTGTCACTGAAACAGGATTTGCTCAGGAAAAAGAGAGGGTTGCAACGAGGTGCATGCAGACAGGGAAAGCCCAGTGCACGCTCTGGCCTGTGAGCCGGGGTGGAGGGGTATCTGTGGAAGGGACAATACAATTCAGGGATGGAGAAGCTAGACCCAGAGAGCTTCATTATAAACATGGGGTTTCCCCCTTTTTCCTGTAGGTTTCTTTTGGTTGCTTGGTGAGAATTTTCATAAGCCCCATCCTTTCCCATAGACCTGCCTGACGTTATGTTTGCTCAAAGTCCTAGTTAGTCTTTGTTGACTTTGTGAAGTATATCAGTTAAGTTTGGCTGTGTAACAAATCACCCCCAAATTTCTTTTGCCTTAAACAACAGCTGTTTTATTGTATTCATGATTTTGTGGGTTGGCTGGACGTTTCTTCTGGTCTAGGCTAGCTTGGCTGGTCTCTGATGGGCCCTGCCCTTCATTTTTGGGCAGTGGGTGGGTCAGATGGTGGCTGGATGATCTAGCGTGGCCTCCCTCCTATGTTTCATGGCTGGCCGGTTGGCCACCAGAGTGATGGATTATTGACTAGTGAGACTTGTTTCTCTTCCACGTGGCCGCTCCTCCACCAGAGTCTAGCTCAGGCACGTTCACACAGTGATCTCAGGGCTTCAAGTGTGGCAAAGAGGGTGAGCCCCAATGCACAAGCACTTTTCAAACCTCTGCTTGCATTATGTTAGTTGTTTCTCTGGCCAAAGCCAGCCCCCTGGCCAAGTTTGGAGCCAGCATGGTAGGACTGCCCATGAAGAAGGGGCATTCTGGTGTCTGTTTGTGCAAATCATCTGTCACATGCAGAATTCGGTTGTGAGCACATGAAATGCTCAGAATTCCAGGGACTGTTGGTTCTGGCATTTCAGTTAACATCCAGACAATTTTCACTGAAGCTCAGATGATAAGGGTAGGCTTAAACCCTCTTCCCTTTGCCATACAAAAGAAACATTTTGAGTATCACATGCAGCCTATAATTTGAATCTGACATGGAGGGGCTGAGGGCCAGCCCACCTAGACGGCTATATCCAGGAGATAATGTAAATATTTTAGCACATCGGTTCTCATTTATAAAAAGAAAAGAAAACTGGAAAAGGAAGATAGTCGTGTTAGAGATAACAAGGCAAGGCTTCATAACCGTAATAAAAGCAAGGCAAGGTATAAATCACAGTTTGAGGGGGGCCACACCTCTGCTCCCCCGACTGCGTGTTTTCTCCCTGGTCTGTGACCCACAGAACCCTGTGGTGGTGACAGCCTGCTGCTCCGCAGGGGAAGGTGTGTGTTTGGATTTCTCAAAGTAGGGGGTATTTGCCGTATTTTTGCTGGGTCTTACAAAGATTCTTCTACTATGAATGAGAAAAAAATTTCAGGTCCTGTGCTAATGGGGCTAGTCAAGAATTTTACATGCCAGGCAGGTGAGCGCGATCATGTTGAGTGACTCCACCTCAAAAGACCAAGGACATGGGCGTGTTGCCCCTGCAGAGTGGTACCCTGAGATGGAGCATGACAAAAGGAGACTGGGTAATACATAGATAGACTAACTCTCCACCTGCTCTGGTCCTCAAGTCTCTCATCAGGAAGTCGACCAACTCATCTCATCCACGCAAAGCCGCATCCATTTCCTTGGTGTAGGTGGAAGTTGGAGATGCTCTCCATTGCTCATTTCCCCATTGGACACCATCACCATTTCCAAGTTCATTTTCTGAGACACTTTAGTATGGTCCACCCTCGTCTACCTAATGGTCCCTGCATTATGCAAACTGCCCCTGCCAACACCCCACCAGCCTGCTCCACCCACAAGGCTCCTTGAGAAACTGGAGCTACAGATAAAAAGCCATGTACTTCCTTTTTCTCTTTGCTCTGGCTTAGAAGCTGGCAGACTGGGTGAGAAGCGAGGGATCTTCATCTTGGGGGTAAGTAGGAACTGTTTAGTGTTTTTTCCCATAGAAAATAAAAAAAATGTTTCATGTGTGATCTTGGGTCTAGAAAAATATTCTGGCACTGGAAAAAAACTCAAGGAGACCTCATTACATGTCCTGTGGCTTTACTTCTTGAAAGCTGCTTTGGGGCAGGTGTCTCACGTCCACTTGCCCACTTCTGCTTGGGTGAGGAGTGCCTGCTAGAGGGTGGTGTGCAGCAGCCTAAATGCTTTAATACACTGCAAAGAGGTGGGGAGTTGCATATTACAGAGCTTAAGGGAAACTAAATAAGAATGGCACAGGAGTGCAAGCACAGAGTCTGGAGCAGATGTAGCAGATTTCCCATTTGCTATTAAAAATGAGAAAACAAGATCTAAGAGTATGAGTGAGTTTCTTGAGGCTCCACAGTGAATTACCAAGCCTGCTCACATGCCACACACCTCACCGCCATCAAAACACCAGCACAGTTAGTGCCAGGCTCACAGGGAAAGGGTTGTCTATTTTGTTTATGGCCCAAGTATGTACAGATTGGTGTTTTTTCGACCAGATTCTTGGGACATAATGGTGGGGGATGGGGTCACGAAACTGATTTAGTGGGTACCAACCAGCATTTGAAAAGGTGCAAAAGGGCTGTTATATCGAAAGCTGTATATAGTCAACATTGATTTGTGAAACCTGGTTCGGTTCTCTTTCTTTCTCCCTCTATCTCTCTGGAGCAAAATGTATTTCTTATAGTGGGTTATGGCCAAAATTCTCTGCAAATCAGCCTTGGCACATATGTGAAGTCAGCCAGACACAGAAAGACAAAGACTGTGTGATTGCACTTGTATGTGGAAGCTACAGTAGTCACACTCACAGAAGCAGAGAGAAGAGCAGTGGGTGCTAGGGGCTGGGAGGAGAGAAACATGGGAGGATGGTCAAAGGGGCAAAGTATCAATTATGGAAGATGAACAAGTTCTGGAGATCTGTGCAGCATAGTTCCCACAGCTCGCAACACTCGATTGTGTGGTTAAAATTAGCTAAGAATGTACATATATGTCACATGTTCTTACTACACACACACACACACACACACACACACACCCTGATCACAAAGTGGTCAGGGGGACACACTTTGGGAGGTGATGGGTATGTTTATGGCCTTGATGGTAGTGACGGTTTCACGAGTGTATACTTTTCTTCAAATTCATTGAAATGTGTATGAAAAATGTTTCATGCGTGATCTTGGGTGTATTTCTTGAGAGAAATGTGTATATTAAACATGCACAACTTTTTATGTGCCAATCATACCTAAGTAAAGTGGTTTAAAAAACAAACAAATCCACATCAGCATCACTAGCGGTCTCAGCTGTTTTTGAAAACATTATCACCTCTTTCACACAAAATATTCACCTTATTTAAACTGGTTTCAAATGAGACCTCAAAAAAGAATCGTCCTTATCTAGCCACGGTTTCTTTATGCTGGGAGTTTCCATGGCGTATTTTAGAGTAGGTTTTTGGAAGGAAGGAGAAACATGCGTCAAAAAGGGAAACAAATGTTGAGAGAAGAGAAGCCATATAGGAAGTGATGGAGTGTAACTCCTTGAAGATCAGACAGGGTTTGATGAGTTTTAGTCACTCAGTATGCACACCAGCTCTGCATTTAGGGAGACGGTGGATTTGGATGTCTTAAAATTTTTTATATTTATTTATTTTTAGAGAGGGAAGGGAGGGAGAAAGAGAGAGAGAGAGAGAGAGAGAGAGAGGGAGAGAAATATCAATGTGTGGTTGCTGGGGGTCATGGCCTGCAACCCATGTATGTACCCTGTCTGGGAATCGAACCTGCGACACTTTGGTTTGCAGCCCGCGCTCAATCCACTGAGCAACGCCAGCCAGGGCTATGATCATCTTTTCAAGGGCCTGTCCTTGAGGTGATGTCCTAGACACAGAATTGGTGGGTCAGAAGAGGGGCATAAATTAAAGGGTTTTGGTGAATATCAGCCACCTGGCTTCTAAACTCTGTGTCTATCAGAAACTGATTTCCACGGGGCTTGTTCCTTCCAGGAGCCCTTGCCACGTCCTGCTGGAGAGCATCTGTGACTGTCCCTGGTGTCTTGCGCTATGGGAAGCAGGTGTCTGCCCCTGCTGTCAGGTGAGTGGGACAAAGTGATGTGGACCCTACTCGTGGCGTCCAAGTCATTATGGATGAAATGGAGACATTCACATGGACTACGGAGTCCTGTGGAGGAAAAGGGACAGCATGGCTTTTCTCTAAGGGGAGCAAATACCTCTGCCCTTGCTCCAATGAGATTTTATTGTCTTCCAGGGCACCTTACAAGAAGGTCCTCATTAACTATGCACAGGCTTGCTTTAAGTGGTTACCTTTTACAGAAAACAAAGGGGCCAATGCTGCTAATCACTTCACAGAAGAGGGATATTTGCAAATGAAAAGACAAAAGTAGTTGAACTGATTACACTGTCCTTGGAAGATTTAGGGTGGATTTTAGGAAGTTGCTTTGCAGTAAATGTCCTCAATTCAGGGTGAGGGAGTTTTAGCAAAAAGCAAGACTCATAGCGGCCTAGGTACATTGCAGGCCTGATTCCCCACGGGAGAATCTATCCGTGGGTGTGGGTCCTGTGCATCTCCCAGTGGGAGCTGGGCTCGTGCCACGCAGAGCGGCCTCCCACAACAAAGGATTTCTCACTCTTCTCCCCATGACCCCATGGCCTGTTGCTTCCCCAAATTTGGCACTTTCTCCAGAAATGGCTGTGTTTTGAGTCTCTTAGCTGATCTTTTCCAAAGCAGAACTGAGACAAAGACTTGGGTGTAAACGGATCCCAGAGGCACAGGAAGGGAGGAGAGGAGGTTGGAGAGGCAAGGTGGAGCAAATGAAGAACATGTTAATGAGGGTTCCTGCCAGGGTAACTGTCATTTAATCCTGTTGGGGACCCTTCAGGAGGCTTTATGTAATGTGCCTTTGAAGGGCCAAGGGTCTGAGCTGTTCACCCTTCAGTCCCCATCCCACTGCTTGACGACCACGCCTAGTGTCACTCCCAAACATCTCTGGCTTGTTGCCCCAAGGGCTGAAGGGAAATGCCCTCTTACAGAGAGAAACTGTAAGTTATCTGCATGCATAGGAGCCCCTCTGGGGTAGGATCAGGGGACACTTCAAGCATCTGCTGCACTGATGGCCACGCCTGGAGTAAGCTTAGCACAGTACAGTGGCGGGACCTACACGCCCTTGGGCTCAGGGCTTCAGGGTCTTTGGGGTAGTGAAGAACACCATGGGACAAGCCAAACGCAGGCGAGAGGTTCTGAAAGAAGATCTAAGCAAGCACATGAAGTCCAATATTCTATGTCAGGAGTGAGCAATTTTTCTTTCTGCCAAGGGCCAGACAATGACTATCCTCAGTTTTGTGGGCCATTTGGTCTCCGTCCTAATGTTATAGAACAACAGTGGGCCAAGGGGAGCCGATGGCAATATACTATTACCTGAAAGGGACCCCCCAGGTTCGTTATGTCTGCCGCCAGAGGAAAGATGTCTCTCAATGCCAGAGATTAGTGAAAAGGAAAGGAAAATATTTATTTAATGCTATACAAACTTAAAGTAGTGACCTAATGTCTTCATCAAAATCCCAAAGTCCCTTAAAACACCCACAAACACACACAGCCCTTCCTTCCCCCTTTGCCCAGTCTGGGGTACCGTATCTCAGGAAAAGAAATAGAAGTCTGTGGCTCAGGTAGCCCGGTTCTTCTCAGTAATCCATCTCGGCTGGTAGGCCTCCCTCAGTTCCCGGCACCATCAGCTGTGTTGCCAGGATCTCTGCTAAAGCCGGGTGGCAGTTCCCCCTTCTAAAGCTGCAGGGGTCCCCACTCAGCAAAAGCCGTGTGGTTCTCTCTCCACTGCCCCAGCCAAGTGGTCCTCTTGGCACAATGGCTGCGTGAAGTCCCCACTCTGCCAAAGCCGCGTGGTTCTACCTTACATGTCCACAGCTGCATGGCTCTCTTGCAGGCATTGTAACTCAGGGGACCTGCCCCCAGTTACATCTTGGTGGAGAAGTCACTTCCATTCCACCCCCCCCCCCACAAAGCATGGCCACAGCTACACAGCTATTTAACATATCTATGTAACCAGTTAGAGGTTATAGATATGGTAAATGACCACACCAGAGGTTAGCTGCAAAGCTGTTGCTGTGCAAAACAGCTCTCAATGGCCCTGCTCCATGTGTCCCTTCCCCCAACCCACACCTGTGGGGGCGGTGGTAAGAACATCCTAATATTTCCTGAACACCCTGAGTTCTGGATCCCATTCCAAATCCCTATTTGGGGCCCCACTCTTGGCTGCACCCTGTTACACTAACTCTTCAACTCTGCGTCGTCACAAAAGCAGCCACAGACCTTGCCTGAGCCTTGTTCCCAGAGAACCTGATTTACAAACACAGAACTTTGAATTTCATATAATTTTCATGTGCTGTGAAATATTCTTCTAGATTTTTTTAAAATTAAAAAACCATAAAAACCATTCTTGGCACAAAAACAGACAGTGGTCTGAATATGGCCTAAGGGCTACAGTTTGCTCACTGGGAATCAAATAATATTTATTTTTGTTAAAACAGCATTCACAGGGAAATTGCTGATGTTTGGACAGTTTTGATGTACAGAAGTGGCCGCATCACAGGAGTCAGCCTTGTAGCATCCAGCAAACTCGAGAACGAATATCGGAGACTTTCAGGGTATCAAAGATATTACTTTATTGGCCAAGTTTAACCTGCGCAGGGGCGAACTCTCAAAGTGTCCAGCGACACAGTGCCCGCAAGGAGCTGCAAACGAGAGCCGCGCCGAGCGCTTACAACTACGTTCTTATATATGGGTGGTCAAGCAAGCGTTATACAGAAGTAGACATGGCAGTTAGTAATTCGCTTACAAAGACCGCGCGCGGGAATTTCAAACCAAGCATTCTTGCATAAGGCGGGAAGGCAGGATGTTTGTTCATTAACCTAGTAATCTCCTGGCTCTAGCTAGCTAGTTTTCTATTTTCTCATTAAAAACTACAAAGCACTGCTTATCTAGCCTACCCAGGGGAGAGCGTCTGCTAGACACAAGATGTTTGCTTTGACTGTACTTTGTCTCTTTTATCATTTCTTTTTAGCTACAATGTGGTTCTTGTCTATTAAGGTTAAACTTAGTTCTTAATTTCCTTGTTCCCAACATTCCCCCGTTTTCTCTTGGGGGTGTGTCAAACCCTTGACTCTTCATCATCAGGAATCATAGTATAGGGTTGGGATACAACCATTAGCTTTACTACTTCTATTCTTTCTTTAATAAAGGCTATGACCCTATTTAAAATGTAGGGCCCTATAGTGATTGCTAGCAGGAGTATATCCCAAGGTCCAGTCTACTTTTCTTCTAATTGATTTTCTGGGGGATTTTGTCCTCCAAATCTCTATTTGGGGACCCTTTGGCTGCACCCTCCTTTTAGATATACCCACTTTAAATTCTTTTAAAGGACAATGGACGAAGGTCTCATCTTCTTGTAACTGCTTCCGGCTGAAAAATGGACATTGTTTTACCCACTCATGGGTCAGGGGTGCCCTGAAAGGGGGGGGGGTGGTGTGCAGCACAGAGGGAGTCCTTCCTGTAAGGGGAAGGACCTTACAGAATCCTGGTCAGTTGGCTGTCACCAGGGAGTCGCAGGTTCGGTGTCCAAAGGCTGGTATTACTGGACCATTGGCATCCTGGTCATATTCTGGAGGTGACAGATTTGGAAAGAGTTGGAAGGCACAATTAAATCATAACCACTAAATGACAAAGGCAGGGACTTAAGTAAGGAATGGCTTATCTGGAGGAAGGTGTACAAGGCATGCTACACCTATCCGAAACTTGTGGCTCGCTATACTTCACTCGGGCTGAGGGGAATATGTTAGGATTTCCCTCCTTTCAGATACCTGGGCCCTTTTTGTCCAAGCCATCAAGACAGAAAAGGCAAAATTAGCTCTAAAGTGAGGGCCACAGACCACCCAAACCATTCACCAACCCAACCACTCAGTTCAGCCAAACCGTGAGTCTCAGGGGTGATGATGAAAATGGGTTCCTTAAAGCGAGGTTTATATTCACTCACTCATTCAACCAACTGCTCAGGTAATGAAGTCATAGGCATATGCCCTATGAAAACAGAAGAACATACAGGTTAAATTCACACAACAATCCCCAAACCAGTCTCTGTGCCTGTGAGACTGTCTTTTGGGAAGAAACTCAATTGCAAGGTCCTTCCTGCAATAACATTTAGCAACAGCAATTTCACAGGTCCTCCATACCTGTAAATTGTATGTACATCTTTGGTGATATTACAAACCCAGTTTTCAACTTTCAAATGAAAACAAACTTTTAAGACAGCTGCACCATTCTGATGTCCAATACTAAGCATTGTGATTTTCCTTGAACCACAATTTTTCTCCTTAAGATCACCCTCACTTATTACGGGGACTACTTTGAGTCCCGCTTTTAATTTTGACTGTTTGTTTGCATAAACACACCAAGAGCAGCCTGGATCACTTATGATCCTTGAGTCTACCTTGCTGGAACTCACACAGGGAGCCTTTAGATTGACTTCTCTGTCCGCCCCTGGAGCACAGAAGCAGAGTCACACATTTGCCATCTGGCTTCGCCTGTACCAGTTGTTTCACTCAAATCCTTGAGGCTTCCATTGTGCTTACAGGTTCCTTTTAGCCATCTTTCAGGAAAGCAACCTTCATTCCTTCCCTGAAAAGACTGCCATGAACCACACAACCAACCAAAGTACCAGGCTTTTTCGTGGGCTTACGCTAGCTTCGCAAGTCAATCCCAGTTTCTCAGGGCTTTCTGGTGACGACCAGAACCCATACATGCCTCCTTCAGGCGTGACATTCCAGTCAAAGTCTCAGTTAATAAAACCACTATTCACGACTGGTCTTATTGGTTTTATGCAAAGAAACTTTATATTATCACTCACTCCTTCAGAATGCCAAATTCTGGAGGGATCAGGTAGGGAGAAAAATACAAAGCCTGAAGGAAAATCTTTTCCCTTCTGATATCCACTGGGCTTCTTAAAACCTTCACTTCTACAGACTTTCTGCAACATTCACAAACCCTTTATTTTATACAGCTTCTGATAT